AACCCATTATAAGAATCCCAATCACAATGCAAAAAAAAAACATGTTTTTTTGAAAAAAAAGGGGACGTGCCGGTTCTGTCCCAGTCCCATCTCATCTTGACCGGCACCTGGATGGCACCCGGATGGGATAGGGCACGGGATAGAATTCCTGTCTCATTTTTGGTCATCGAGACTAGATCAGGACGGTCTCGTCCCATCTCGTAAACAGTCCTAACTCTATGAATACTATAGTACATATAATACAATTATCTAATACTTCCTTGATCCTAGGTGTACGATCTGTTTCGTAGCGTAATTTATGTTACAAAATGAGTTTTAGTTTTAGGACTAGAGGAATACTATACACATAGTACAAATCTCCATTCTTGATTCTTATCTATATATGTTAAGCACAATTCATTATATGCTTCTTCATAAGCTTCTCAAAGGTATAATCCGTAGCATGTTAGTCACTTGTTTAAATTACGTCAAAAGTAAGCTGTGACAAAATCTGAAATGATTGGGAGAATTTTCTTTATAGTTATCTTTGTTGAGATTTGATTCATATTCCTCAACGTCCAAACTGCCTTTTAGTTGAAGCTGGAAGCATGTATTCATATTGATCTTGAGTTGACAGTTGTAATACTTAAAAAGATAATACATTAATTAACAGTCCTATATCAAAATCTAATCTCCTCACAGATTCATTCAAGTTGTTCCGATGCGTGAAGGGTTCTGAAGAATATTATGCCATTCATTAAGAATTAATATATGTCCAATCAACCCAAATCACGGGACCGAATGCTAAATTCACTGAACAACGAACATTCCGTTTTCTTAATTAATGTTTTAAAACAACGTCCGGCCAAAAAAAATATTTTAAAACAATGAATGGGTCCTTTTTTATATTTATGAATTTTACAAATAAATATTTACTTAGAGCATATTATTACTCAGGAAATGCCACACGTAAGGAGAAATTAAATTCTAATAACACACACACACACACACACACACACACATATATATATATATATATATATATGTATAGAATATAAACAACTTGTGATTGCCATAGACGGTGTATTATTTTAAGATTGCGAGGAATGAAGAATGATATGAGATTGTTATTTGTTAGATGTTTTATGCTTCAAATTCACCATCACCATCAATCTAAAATGGAATTGGAGTTTCAACTGTTAAAACATGCACATAACAAAAGAGAACTCTACATATCATATGATTATTTCACGGGAAAAATGTATAACTTGAGTAAGAATTTAATAACTTTGGCCATTATGATTTTTCAACAAAACCGAGACAAACAGGCAATATTTTTTAAAGATAACAAATGCGGCAAAATTGAGTGAAATAGTTCATGTACAGTAATTACGAATTTATTTTAGGCCTGTGATCATAAATCCACCCATAATTCTTCTTTTTTTTTTTGGGTGAAAACCCATAATTCTTTTTTTAATAATTATTAGTCTGCTCCGATGGATAACTAAACTTGGGTTGTCAAAAACAACCAGATCTCAAAGTTAAAAAGGAGAATCACAATTAAGTCATGACAAAGAGAAGTAATTATTAAAAAGTCCTAATAACAATCTGAACAGTCTGTAATGACAAATTCTAAAACATAGAATGATAACTTTTAAAACTTGTTTTTTTTTTTAGTATCTTATTTTAGTGGGGCATGTGAGACAAACATGGAAATAACTTTAGAATGGAATGGAGGTTCGTAGGCCATATTCAAAAGGGTTGAAGGTGGGCGGCCCAAAGAAGATTGAAGAATATCATTCACATGTCCCAGAATCGTGTCCTAATCACAGCCTCATAAATTATAAAGTGCATATTAATTTAATAATAATAATGTTTGTGACAACTTGCTCCAACCTTAATCTTTCTCTTCTGGTCAAGAAAAAAAAAAAACCTTAACATTTCTCTCTCTCTAGCCTGGACATGTCATCTGAGCAGTGAATAAAAGGGGACCAAAGTAGATTGCATCAGAATGTGAGAATAAATTCCAGCTGACCAATTAATGGTAATCCCCCTGATCTTCTTAATTGAGGTGACGTCTTACTGACCCCATATGCCCCATCTCTCATTGGATCTTCTCTTCTTATCCCTAAATTAAAGCTCCATAACCATCCCAGTATCCTCTCTCTCATTCTTTCATTCATTTGTGTTCTCTTCATGCCCACTTCCCTTCTCGGTTAATAAATTTTTGAATGAAAGTATAAGATGCCATTTGGCCATCTAATCAAACTTATAGATAGAATTAAAATTATGATTTTAAAAGTACTTTTACAACATATGAAGTAAATATGTAAAAGAATTTATTTCATTTTACGAAAAAATCCTTCTAAGAAGCATTTTTGGACGCTTCCAAACACCTCCTAAGTGCAGGTTTATTTCATCTTTTTCCCTTTAAAGGATGTACTCCCGTATCCTGCTCAAGACATTATAAAACACTAAACATAAGAACCTCTTTAAGTGAGATTCAAATTTTAATTTATCATATTTTGAGGAACTAACTCGTTTTGTTGGACCCACCTTTTCCTTGTAGTTGATGAGTGATTTGTATAAACATACTTTTTTCTTAACAACTAGAAAGGAACAAGCCCATTTAATGTGAAGGCCCATGGCGGAAGGTGCGGGTTCAAAAGGCCTTCATCTTCATAGCAAACTTGAGGGATCAACTTGGGCCAACTTTGAGTGTTCGGGTCAACAATGGGACCATGACCACATTTATCACTAGAGCTGCTATTTCCTTCAGCCCAAGGAAGCTCAGTTAAAGAAGTTGAACAAGGGAACATAATGGAGATAGATCCATCATTGCAGTTGTATACTGGATGATAATCTCTATGGCTAATGTTTCATAAAACCAGAGATATCAGGGCCGCTGTGAGCAGGCAAGGAAACTTCATAGCACCTTCCTGAGATATTTCTCAGTAAACATCTGACTTTAGCAAATAATTTTAATTCCGCCACAAAAATGAGCTAGCGTGCGAGGAAACTTCTCAGCAACTTCCTCCACCCCCGCACGCATCGTCCCAGAATAATATATGTTAATCTATAAATAAGGTCTTGTAATTAAAATCGAAAATAATATTAAATGTTAAATCTACGTCATGAGGAGTAACGCGAGGGATCATTGATCCACTGGATTTTGACCAACGAAACTACGGTTGATTATTGAATCCATATGTGGATAGGGGTAAGGATGTCAGGTTTCAATATCGGTATTAATCAGGTGTGGCGTTTCTTTTTCCTTCTTAACCAAAAAAAAAAAAAAATACTATGTCCTATTCTTAATATAAAATCCTATTTGATTTTCATTTTGGTTCTAAATATAAGACTCAAATATATTTTTCTCTTATATTTATCTATTTTCTTTTAAGACAATCCTTCTAATAATGGTAGTTTTAACCAATAAACTTAATTAGCAAGAATATTTTAAAAAAGACAATACTTATTTATTACAAATAATTAATTTAACTTTTTAAATCTATTTAGATTAATTAACTAACTCTTATATTTAAAACGGGAAGTAGTATTTTAAGACGAAAGAGGTCAAAGAAATATTTGCATGGGGAACCAACATGTTCTCTCCAAAATTAATATTACCAATCAGGTCATGTGTCGTGCTTGTTTCCATTGAATTTATATGATAACATCTTGAGTTAGCTGTAAACCAGTCAGAGAAATTTCTGATAATTAATTGTCCCAAATAAATCAAATAAGTAAGTCATTATTTAAGAAAATAAATTCTATATTCTATAACAGTACAAATCAATTTTATTCAGATTTATTTTTCCCACTGTTAATTCAAATTATATCAATGGCGGCCCCATAGACGCATGCGGATACAGAAAAAGGCTCACGCAATCAAAGAGGTTATGGCCATTCAAACACCAGAACATGAGTTTAATCTTGCATAAATTTAATTAAAAAATATTGTTGGAAAGATTATTCTCAATGAGATTTCTCGATTTACATCCAGATTATTATTATTATTATTACTAGGTGAGTTGGCATTTAATATTATTTTCTTTTTAAAAGAAAGGCAGTCGGAGGGGACAGGGCACATGGAGCGGCATCAGCGGCGTACTATGCTTATACCCATACGGACAAAGCCAGACGACTTGCTAGCAAAGCTCCCTTCTTTTCACCGTAAAAAAGCAAAAAGCTCCCTTCTACCCGTGTGGGGCCCACAATCACAATGGCTTTCCCCACATTTTATTTTATTTTAACAAAAACATTTGGTAAGTTTGATCCCGACTTAACAGATCAGGACACGCCTTATGATTTTAAAAAATGTTTATAAATGTACCATTAACAAAATTCTCGTATTGGTAGCAGGAATTAAACTTGCTGTTTTATAAGTTTTAAGCAACTCCTTATAATTGAACAATTCAATTTTTGTTACCATTTGTAAGGCTCTTTGATTCAGAAACGGTGGGAAAGTCAAAGCACCTGACAATGGTTAACCATATCCGATTGCGTATGAAAAAGGCTGTTTCCCTTATTTGTGAAAAGTCAAAAGCACCCCATCCTAAGAACCAATTTCGTGCTAATTTATCACTTTGCGCCACACAAATATGATTTTGATAATACAGGTTTAATTTTTAATTTTTAATTTTAGAAATAATTATTTTAATAGTTATATAATCTAAAATAAAGATAATTTTTTAGTCACCATGTTTTTAAAAAATAATTTTTTGTTTAAAATAAAAAAATAAGTCTAGCCCATTCAAATTCGATTTGTATGGTCTAGATACGATTTTGATGAGTATCATACTCGTTTCTCCATTCTAATGTCTTTGCCCTTTATTTTTATTAATGAAGCTTAATAAATAGTTTTTTTTAATTTTAAACATAAAATTTCAGCGGCAGAGAGGAGTAATTCAGCGGCAGACAATTTCACTTCACTTGTCACGTGGCCCAAGGATGCATGACCTAATCTGAGATAGCGCCCAAGCTAAATCCAAATCCCGCGTTTGCTTTCTTCTTTAATCATCTCTGCTTCTTCTTATAACAAACACAGAGAAGCACATCCAGACAAGTGTGTGTTTACTCTGAGAGAGAGAGATTGAGAGAGAAAAACGATGGTTAAGGATCGGAAAGTTGGTGTGGCGATGGACTTCTCAAACAGCAGCAAGAATGCTCTGAAATGGTCCCTTGAAAATTTGGCTGATAAAGGCGACACTTTTTACATCATCCATGTCACCCACAACTCCCTTGACGACTCTCACAAACATCTCTACGCCAAATCTGGTGCTCGTAAGTTTTCTTTTCTGTTGCTTTATATTTTGGATATCTGTGAAACGCAATCTGATTTCCCTTTTCAAGTCTTCCTGCTTCATGCTCTGTTTTTTTCGCGCTCGATCTGATTCGTTTTGGTTCCATCTTTTTTCAGCTCTGATCCCATTGGCACAGTTCAGAGAGCCGGAGATCATGAAGAAGTACGATGTTCCAATTGATACCCAAGTTCTTGATTTGCTTGATACTGCTTCCAGACAGAAAGAGGTTCTCCCCACTTCTTTTCTGTCGTTCATTTCCTCAAAAACAAATTCACTCTCTGTTTTCCGTTTGATTTCTGAAAGAACAATTTCAAGCCGTGAGAGAAATGATGGTGCAGGTGAACATTGTGGCGAAATTGTACTGGGGTGATGCGAGGGAGAAACTTCTGGATGCGATTGAAGATCTGAAGCTGGACTCTCTGGTTATGGGAAGCAGAGGTCTTAGCACAATCCAAAGGTCAGAAATTTCTCCAATCCCCTGTTTTCACTCTTTTGATCATGTTATAATTTATGTTTGATTCCTTAGAGCTGTTACCAGAATTTTCTTATAACGTATGGGTCAAATGCATTTTTATCTTTATTTTTCTTATTTGGGAGAACAGGATCCTACTGGGAAGCGTGAGCAACTTTGTGACGACACATGCGTCTTGCCCTGTGACTGTTGTGAAGGATTTGGCGAGCAGCAGCAAGTAGCAGAGACATCATTGTTCATTAAATTAGGACTTGGCTGCCACTTTGAATGTTCCTTTTTGTTGTATTTGATCTCATCTCTTTGTTGGTCATATCCTGAGATTATTCTATGTATAACGTTGCAAGTTTCCACCCTTTGAAATTTTCCTGTTTTTCCTTCTTTTCAATGAAGAATGCAGCTGAAACTCCTCCATCTTATAAGCTGGCCAGATTGAAACTAAATGTGCTAGATTTTTTATTTTATTTATTTTCACATTACTAATTATTTTTTATTTTGGTAGATCCAAATTCTAAAATAAATATCTCAAATGCTCAAAACATAAAGAAACTAGTGGAAATGACCGCAGATGGTAAGAGTTGCTTATGTCTTAAATGAAACAAACGCACGATCGAGATTTTATTGCAAAAGAAAGTTACATATTTTTATTTTTGCATGAAATTACAACATGCGATAATTAACCCAAAGATGAATCCATTTATCTATTTGGAAGCAGAGGTCTGAGCACAATCCAAAGGTGCTGCAAATTTCCACCTTTTGAAGTTTTCCTGTTTGCCCTTCTTTTCAAAGAATAATGCAACTGGAGCTCCATCATCAGATAAGCTGTCCAAATGCATTAGAAAATAATCGCAACTTGTTCATGAGGCCCAACCGCCCAAAGAAAAACAAACAGCGTATGAACACTAATGGTGCGTATGAAAGGAAAGGGATAGGAGAAAAAAATTTAATAAATTTGATTTAAAAAATTGAAGAAGTTGGTTTAAAGGTTTTTAATTAAATTTTCTTCCTCTTTTATCTTGTAAATTTTTTTATCAAAATTTCAAAATCCCATTTCTTCAGATTTTCAAATCAAGCTTATTAAAATTTTCTTTCCCCTTATTTTCACTCCAATTTCCTCATATCAAACATAGAATAAATCGTATGAAAATATAAAACAAGCAACAAAACTGAACCAAGGCGAAAATGATTGCTGGAGAAGAGGATAGCCAGAAGCTACATTTGCACTACAAATGGTGGGTACGAGGCAAAGACTATCAAGAGGAAACACTAGGGACTCAGAATATCCCATAAATACACTGAAAAGGCAATTAAAAAAAAAACACAAGAAGAAGATTCAAAAGCAAAAAGTCTAACTTAAGAGCTGCTAAAAGATTCCAATAACGAACTTTTATCAGACAACGTCCTAAAGGGAGTTGTAAAGAGGCAGAAAATAACAACCCGACCAAAACAAAAAAACCAAACACATGATCGAGATTTTGTTGCAAAAGAAAGTTGCATATTTTTATTTTGGCATGAAATCACAACATGCGGTAATGAACACAAAGATGAATCCATTTATCTATTTGGAAGCAGCAATGCTCTGAAAGCGGGTTTTGTAGTAGCCAATGAGAACATCCTTTGGAGGCAAAGCTTCTTTCACAATGGGATGTTTCAGAATTTCGTGACTCCATTTCTTAAGCTTTGGAAATTTCTCACCACTGAACAACTCAAGCGCACCAGCTTCTTCAATTAAAGGCAGCCAAAAAGCCAAGAACAATGCAGTAATATCCACATATCCCATTGAATCTCCATTAAAGAACTTTCCTTTCAGCTCATTCTCCAGAGTCTTGAGAGCCTCCGAGGATTCTTCACCACCTTTCTCTCTCTCCCTCGCATCAGGATTCCAAGCTGCTTTAGATATAGCAGGCAAGACCTAAACTCAAAGCAATGAAAAACCTGTTCAGTAACTCATCATATCTGGGGCAAAAAAAATACAAAATACTAGAAAGCCTTGTTTATGTATTACCTTGTCGTCGATGAACTTGGACCAGAAACGAGCCAAGGCTCTGTGGTGAGGATCAGAAGGCAAGATGGGATAACCTGTAAAAGTCTCGTCGACATATTCAACAATGACAAGCGACTCACAGATTGGCTTGTCGTTGTGAAGAAGCACAGGGACCATCTTGTGAACGGGATTGTACCTGAGAAGAAGATCACTTTTGTCGGTCAATGATTCATGAACATATTCATATTCCGCTCCCTTGAGCTTCAGAGCAATCTCTGCTCTCGTCACAAATGGGCTTCCTACAATTCCAAAAAGCTTCACTTGTTGATTTGAAGCCATGACAGTTTAATATACTCCTCCGGTCCTTATTATAAGACTCCATTTGACTTTTTATTTAGTCCTAATTATAAGACCCCAATCCATTTTGTCTCTTATATTTATGCATTTTTTTCCAAGATAATCCTTCTAATAATGGTAGTTTTAGCCAATATACTTAATTAGCAAGGATATTTTAGGAATGACAACACTTATTTATTATAAATAACTAACTTAACTTACTTCCTTAATCTCCTCAAATAAATCAATTGGGTCTTATAATTAGGACCGGAGGAGTATATGCTTTTTCTGGGGACTTATATCGGAGACCTGCGCTTGAGGGTTGTATGGTGTCTGGGTTTGCGATTCCCTTTCTTATATAGCTATGGGTAGGGATGGGTCGGTCAACAAAGTTGGATTTCTGGAAGAGAAAGTCAAATTTGCTTCTGAAGGCAAGGAGGGATGTAAGAGATTACATCACCAATGAAATGCTTCGTTGACGACACTGTTTCACGCGTCGAGGACGTGGCAATCCTGTTCTTTTATTTCAGTCGCACACGGGTCAATGACTTGGGATTTTTTTTTTAAAATTAGACACATGTATTTTTTATTGGAAGCAATTTTATTGGGGATTTTGTCAAACACTGCTTTTAACAAGAATTCAAATGTTAATTGGTCACATCCACATTGTGAGGAAAAATCTCATTTATCTTTTCACACATGTAGGCCCATTTGTTTTGACAAGAAGGAGAATAAAATTAAAATGCATATGTATGTTCAGTCATAAAGCATAAATTAATGTATATGGAATGAAAGCCTTGGAGGATAAATATTCTAGACACAGTTTTATCAGGAGTAAGTTAATAATCATAATTAATTATATCAGTTGGACTGTAAAAGTTGCTTGCTCAAAATAAGCTCTTGTATATCACAATTTAAGGTGCACTTACTCCAAATAAACAGAGTAGCCCACTTATCGTTTTATCAATTTACCGCTCTATTTTTAATTATAAATCATTTGTACCTTATTCTGGCATATAAAAATGCATTAAATTAATAATTTTTTTGCCCTTTTCCCATCAAAATAAGCATATTGATAAAGAAAAAAAATATGTTGTTTATTCTCTTTCACCTATTTTTTGTTATATTCAGTAAGGATAAAATTAGGAGAGAATACTACGATGTATCCTATGAAGGCAGACCTTCGAGGCCTCCTCAATAGCTGCATTCTCTCTTTTGTCATGGAGTTACTCTATGAAACTTAAAATAAGAACTAATTAGTTTATTTAAATAAATTAAAAATATTAATTAAATTAGTTAATATGATATATTTTTTTAATATACTCTCAGCATCTTCTTTAATTCCCACCTTTTTTCTCGTACTTGATTATTGTTAGAAAAATATTAATAGGGTTAATTTAAAAAAAATTTGATAAATATGTGAAATAGGTCTTGTATATATAACTAATATTAATTTCTTCATTAGCTCCTATATTAGAGATCAGAAGAGTATTAAAATCCTTACTCCTTTTCCCCCCAAATATTTCAGTTCTCATTGGATCGCTTACCATGGCTCACGTTGTTTTAAAATATACTCCCTCCGTTCCTTATTATAAGAGACAAATAACTGAAGTACGTTGATCAAAAAAACAGTTAAAGTTAGTTAAGAACAATTAATGTATAAAAAGTATAATTTTTTTTCCAAAAATGCCCTCATTAATAAGGAGAGAGAGCATGAGAGAGAACAATTAAATTATTAAAAGAAAGAGAAGTGGGAGGGAGAGAGAGTGTGAGTTGGAGATAATAAATATGGGTAAAATAGTAAATCAACACAAAAAAGTAGAGACAACTTGTAAGTGTCTTTTATATATAGGAACATGGCATAAGCATCAAGTGTCTCTTATAATAAGGAACGGAGGGAGTATCATTTTCTTTGCTCTAATAATTTAACTATAACAATTTTTGCTAATCTCAGTATATAACATAAGCCATAGTAAGCGATTCAAATATACATGCCAAAACAGATTACAACCCCAAAAACACAGCTATATCATAAGTTACTAAATATTCTTATACATGCCAAAATCAATTATAAATTAAAGAAAATGATTTTCTCACAAGCTATACTATTATTTAGCTTTTCAATTTTATAATTGGCTTCAGTAGGCATAGGAGTATTTGACAACTCTTATGAAATGATCATGATTTTGGGTTCATAATTGATTTTGGCATATATGAATATGTTTGGTTTTAGGTTTGTATAATTAATTAATTTTGGTATATATGTGCTTGCATACTTTTCAAGAAAACCTTATTCTTATAATTAATTATGATCTTGATTCAAACAGGGCCTATAAATTAGTGCTGAAGTGCATTTCTCACAAAAGAAAAGCACTGAAATAAACTATTTGGACTATTTTCCTTTATGCAAAGCCTGGTAAGAAATCAGTAATAATTCCTCAATTAAATTTATTTAGGGTCGACTTGAATCAATGGTGGATGAAGCTGATATGGTATAAAATTGATTTATAAAAACGATAATGAATAAAAGCTTGTATGAATAATTTATAATAAAACCATGATTTTAATTAATGTCTAGAGGAAGCAAATGGATTTAGAAGACTTCTATTGTGCGATTAGTTGATCATCATTTTGACAATATTTTTCCAACATGAAGGGGAAAAATTGAATAGTTGGAAAGGATAACATATAAAATGCATTATTATTAAATATAGATCCTCAAATATATCAGTATGGACCAGGAGTTCATTGAACATTACATCCATGAAATGCTACAAAATATCTTACTCACCTAAATAAAATTTTTTAAATATCTTATTCCAGTTGAAAATACTCTAATCAGTATAAATAAAAATGAAACAAGCCGGAAGCATGAGAGGTTAATTGGTTTCAATATAAATATATTGAATAAGGAGGAGCATATAATTTAAAAGTTATATTGAGGAGGCATATACTTTAAAGCATGTCAAGAGATAACTAATTATAAAACCTCATAAGATGTTCATGTATTTGAAAAGTAAGAAAGAAATCTCAATAAATTATGTCACAAAAAAAAACCGAAAAGATAAAGTTATCGACAACAATTTTGATAATAATATCACGTGATAAAAAGAGGATTTTACATGTAAATATGTCGATAAAATAGATAGAAAATTGGCTAAAAATTAAAAAAAAACGCAATAAAAATATTATTTCAATTTGTCAAAACTAAAGACCAACAATCTTGACACATGGAATATAAAACTCTTATGGAATATATGGACGTTTATGCGGAAATAAATATTTTTACAAAAGTCTGATGATGATTATGATGAGACATATTATTTTGTAGTGGATATAATTTTGCATATTTGAATAGTCTGACAATTATGAAATGCATTTGTTAGATATTATTATAACCCATGCATGAGGATCATTAATTTACATGATAATTTTTGAAAGATCCAAAATAAGCCAGGAGCATATATAAAGAAAATCACTATATATGAAATGTTATGAAGATTAAAATAACAGGAGTACTACCATCTATTTTGTAGTTCTAGATCAAAATACATGAAATTCTCTGAAAGATTTAAGTTGTCAGAAGCATACAATTCAAGTTTTCAAGAACAATACTTATTTAAGTTGAATAAGTCTTTATAAGAATTGAAGCAATCGGGACGTGTGTGGTATAACCGACCAAGTAAATATTAGTTGAAGGAGTAATATAAAAATGATTCAGTTCGCCCATGTATTTTTACGAAACAACATGAAAATGAGTTTGACATAAATGTAGTTTTTGTTGATGATATAAATATCATTAGAACTCTTGAAGAGCTTATAAAAACTATAAATTGCTTACAAGAAAAAATTTGAAATAAAAGACTTAAAAAGAACAAAGTTTTGTCTCGGATTGCTAATTAAATACTTAAGAAATGACATTTCTCTAAAGGTCTTAAAATGTTTTTTTATAGATAAATCACATCTATTATGTACTTTGATAGCTGTGAGATTCGTTAAGGTGAATAAAGAACTTGTTAGATTCCAAGAAGGTGATGAAGAACTACGTGGTCCAAAAGTATCGTATCATATCTTGTCAGTCATGTATGACTTGGCATATCATTTACTGTTAACTTACTATTAAGATATAGTTCTTTGCCAACACAAAAATATTGGAATAGAATTCTAGATTATTTTATAATCCACATGCTAGTAATTCCAGATAGAATATTTGTCTCATAATATTCAAAAGATGGTAAAATTTATGTCTAATAAGTCACTTCCTGCTACAATATTTAACAAGCTTGTTCATGATATTAGGTATTACGAGCTCAAGGATATCAATTGATGTTATCAAGAGGGAGAGTTAATACATGTTGTACTCTTTTTTCCTTATTTATGATTTTTTTTATTGGATTTTCCTAACAAGGTTTTTAATGACACAACATCAAGTAGTGTATCAGTGAATGTGTACTCTTTTTCTTGCACTTGGTTTTTGTCCCACAGGGCTTTTTCTAGTTGATGTCCATCTCCTCTTTCTCTTTAACTTCATCAACTTTCACTAGATATTAATCTTTCATTACTCCACTACTCCTTTATCATGTCTTTAATCTTATAACTCACCCTCCACTCATATTCATATGGTTTATTACCCACTATCTATCATTTAAGTCGAAGTGTAATATATATGTGAGATTATCGTTATAAATAGAATATATCATTGTGTTGTAATGCAAATGAAAGAAAGTGTAGTGAAGGAATACAATATAATTTGCTCATTTTGTTGTCTCCATTTCTCATCTTCTCTATTTTTTTTATTGGTTGATTTCATAACAAAAAATAAATGGAGAATTAGTGAATTACAATTAAGTCCCATAAAAGAGAAATAATTATTAAAAAATTTCAATAACAACCTGAACAACCTATAATGACAAGTCCTACAGTGGAAATGATAACTTTTGATATTTGTTTTTCAATTGTTTTCCTTGTTTGAGATCTCATTACAATTTTCCCAAAAATAAATCTTGATAATGACAAGGGACATCATGATTATCTAAAAGAAAAACAAAGGTCCTGGGGGTAATAATTATATTAAAATCATTCCAAACCGTCAGTTTGTTTCGATTTCAGCCGTGGATTTCAGAATGCTTGAAACCGATGGAGAGATACAGGCGGTGCATGCTGTTTTCGATGAAAAGACGAAAATCATCGGGTTATATTGTCAAGATTCCTTTCCTTTTTATTTATTTATTATTTTGTGTGGGCCTCATGGCGTTTCCCAAGACCTCCCTGGAGAGAAATATAGGATAAGAGGTAACGGGGAGTCAGATTTTGTAAAAGATATTACTCGCTTGCAGTCAATTAAGGTTTAAATTCTGATAGAAGACGATACTCATTTAACAGTACCTTAGACAAGATGTCATCTAATAGAACTCTAATATATTTTACAAGATTACGGTATGAATTTACATCATTTTATATGTGGATTTGTTTATCTATGAAAGTAAACAAGTATGTAACTTTTAATAGTTTTATACTCATATTCCTTAATTTTTAACTTTAATAATGTAATTGGCAATTAATAATGTAATAACTTCATGAAACATCAAAAACTAAACTAATAAAAATAAAATTTTAGAAACTAAAACGATAAGTGAACTAAGCATGCAAGAGATAAACATTCCATGATCAAGATCCTGCCCATGGAGGAGGCCAATGCCGGGAAACTTCTTTTGTTTGTGTTTTAATTACTTTGTTTTTTTGTTGGAACTACTTTTGGTTTTATGCTGTTCAAGTTCTTTTATGTTTCTTGATACTCTGTAGTAACTTCGTTGACTCTGTTTCTGATTTCTTGCTTTTTTTTGGCCCTCTTCTTGCTTTTATATATATATATATAGATTATTAATTTTCTTAATATTCTCAGATTAATTATCTTGTGAAGCTAGTATTGCGCATTCATCTTAGTTCTTTACATTTCATGAAATTATCGTATTATGAATCCAGAGCATCAGGTTGTCGACATTTTGAAGAACTTGTCAACAGTTTCGACAGTTTCAGTTTTTCACGTTAATAACCGAGCAGCTGATTCCGGAAAATTTGTCAATGTCACTCAAAAGAAGTAAAGTGATAATAACTTCATGAAACCTAAATGATTAAATTGAGAATAAAATGAAAATTTGAACGATCAAATCAAATCAACAAGATTGATTAAAACTTTCATCATTACATTCATGCATTAATCTTATTACATTCGTGATGCAATCGCTTGCATCACATTCCATTAACATCTGGAGCGACTCATCTACTGTATTCCACCCTTGGACTATATAAGAAACTGATCCACAATGTCAGGGACCATAAAACCCATCATATCAAATCCTCAATTCTAAAACAGAAACAAAAGTAAATACGGCCATGGCTTCAAATCAACAAGTGAAGCTTTTCGGATTCTTGGGAAGCCCATTTGTGGCGAGAGCAGAGCTTGCTCTGAAACTCAAGGGAGTGGAATATGAGTACATTCAGGAACCGTTGCCGAACAAAAGTGATCTTCTTCTCAAGTACAACCCAGTTCACAAGAAGGTCCCCGTGCTTCTTCACAACGAGAAACCAATCTGTGAGTCGCTTTTGATTGTTGAATACGTCGATGAGGCTTGGACTGGCTCCCCCATCTTGCCTTCTGATCCTTATGACAGGGCCACGTCTCGTTTCTGGTCTAGGTTCATCGATGACAAGGTGATCCTATCATCAAACACTTGTCGTGCTTTGTCTAGCTTCGTTTTGTTTTCTCAGTATATGAATTATGAATTGAATGATCAGTGACTAAACAAGTGCTTTTGTTGGTTGATTTCAGTTGTTACCTGCAGCATTCAAAGCAGCCTGGGATTCAGACGTGAAGGAGAGGGAAAAAGGTGCTGAAGAATCGAGAGAGGCTCTGAATGTTCTGGACAAGGAGCTGAAAGTGAAAGGGAAGTTCTTCACTGGAGATTCATTTGGGTATTTGGAAATCGCTGCTCTGATCATCACTTACTGGCTGCCCATAATCCAAGAAGCTAGTGAGGTCGACCTGTACAGTGCTGAGAGATATCCAAATTTAGAGAAATGGGGTCAAGAGATTTTGAAAGAGCCCGCTGTGCAAGCAGTTTTGCCTCCCAGGGATGTTCTGCTTACCTTCTTCAAGAATCGCTATCAGAGCATCGTTGCTCCTTCAAAATAGAGATGATCACAAGGATGACCAATAATAATATCCATCCTTGAGATGGCGAACGATCCAGTGGTGTGACTGTGTGAGGACGATCGAGTGGAAATAAGATATGTATAATAGTAATAATAATTATGCAGTGCTGTGATTGAGAGTGGGAATAAAATAATGTACAGGTGGTGTGTTTTCTCTTGCATGGGAGTCTGACGATCCGCTTGATTTGGATCATTATATCATAAATAAAGTTTCACTGTTTGTGGTCTTTTCTTATATCTTATTTTTGTCGTTTTATTTTGTTGCTTGTGTGGCTTATAATTTATTAAAGCAAAAGGCCTCTTGGTAGTTGAAAAATGTGGGTAGTGTCCTGGTCAATTGCCTATATAATTTTATCTTTTAACAAAAAGACAAACAAAGTTAAATGGGATATGCGCAAAGTGCAATCACATGTTTTCATTGGACACAAAAATGTTAGTTGTCAGATTATTTTTATTTTGAATTATGTATTTATTTAAAATCATTTAAAATATAAAGACTATTTAAATTATTAACTACTATACTGAACTTGTTAACAGCATTACAAAAGTTATTAACTGTTTTACTGAAACTATAAAAATTTTCAAAAAAATTGTTGTCAGAGCTGGCTTCGGAGCTCTGGCAGCCATTGCCAGTGTCGAAACTCTGACGACCGGCCGTTTAGTGGGGGGCTTTTGGTTTTTTAAAAAACAATAAATAAAATAAAGGGTAATATGGTTATTTCAGTAAATTTAAAAATCCCAAATTAGTTACTTATGTCTAAATTAGTATTCTGTAAATTCAAGTGAGTATTTAAATATGTCTAAGTTGAAATATCATTTGTTTATGTGTCGTTTTTCCCAAGTTGTTCACCGAGAGAAAGTCATATTTAGGAACCAAAACGTTAAATTAATTCAATACTTTGATCCAATCTTCTCTCTTTTCTGTTTTCTGTTTTTTTTTTTTTTGCCAGCTTGACCCCATCATCTCATTCATCCTGCATTCATACCTTTCCATGCTATATGCGCACGTCAAACTCATCTTTCCTTTTGGTTCCTCCCAGCAATCCGTTTTATTGAATACAATTATTTCTTTTTTTTTTAATAGTTGAGTATGATTAATTCTGTCACAAGGGAAATTCTAAAAATTAAATATTCAAAATACTATTTCTAGTTCTAATTATAAAATCTAATTACAAACTATACCTTCTAATTGGGGCTGGAGGTAATATAAATTACTTCATAAAATTAAAACCACATCAAATCACTTTTAACAACATTTTTCCTCTTCATAATATTCGACAATTAAAATAAACATACAATTCAATGAAAATAATCTTATATATTTTTATTATTTTATAAAAAAAATAAAATTCCAATTAAAGCCAACAACTTTTGTTTTTCTCTCCCTTAGATAAATCAATTAAAAATGACCTCCGCATATATGTAACACCCAGTGTTTCTTAATTTTTAACTTTGACACAATCTCCTCTTTCATTTTGCATTTATAACTTTCCCTACTGTAGAATTCAGATTCATCATTCCTTTTGGTTCCTCCCTCCAATCCGTTTTATTGAATACAATTACTCTCCTGGTTTTATTTATAAAGTGCTTCCGTTGTATTTTATATAGATTAAAAAAAATCTTAAATTTTATTAATTAATTTTCAGCTTCTCTCTCCTCAGTAGCCACATGAACCATACAGCTCTCTTATGAATTCTCATCAAGGAACAAAAAACCGAACCGGATACTAAATCGGTTGAGGTAGTGGTTCAAGGGTTAATTGGTCAGATCAGGGTCAACTCGAGATCAAACCGGTCATATTAAAATAATATAATTTAATTAAAAATAACAGAATATAACAATACTAATAATTACTAATAACAAAATATAAAGAAATACAATGAGAATTTGATTGTAATAATAATAAAGTATAACAATATTGAGAATTTTTATCTTTATAATTTTTTAATAACTAAAATTAATAGTTATTGATACCAAACTCATCATTAAAATTCATTTAAATCTATAATAATTGATATAGTAGGAATTAAATAAGAAAAATAGGATAAATATCAATATATTTATTTAAACCGGTTCATTGCCGGGTTTTACTGGTTTTCACCGGTTTAATCCGGTTTGAACCGATTCCCGATTTAGCTTATGAACCAGTCCAGACCACTGACCGGTTTACCGGTTGAACCGACCGGTCCGGTTCGGTTTTTTTTACACTGATTCTCGTTGAGTTGAAGCATCCCCCGAATTATTTTTATTGCCAACAATACATAACATGATGGGAAGATGAAACCACGGCACGTGGGAGACTCCACGGTACATCCGTTTGATTTGGATCATCATATCATAAATAAAGTTTTATTGTTTGTTGTCGTTTCTCAGATCTTACTTTTGTCGTTTTAGTCTGCTAGATTTTTCTTATTTTATTTATTTGGCTTATGAAAGTAGGAGGGTGTCTTTCTATTATTAGTCTTCGGCTTGCTGGTTTAAAAAAAAAAGTCTTTTTCTTTTCATTTTTTGGGTACCCAGGTTAATCACCTATGTAATTTTTATGTTTTCCCATATGGAGACTCCTCTTAACAAAACAAGAAGGCACGTGTTCAATAATAAAACATGAAGATGAAAATATACGTTCGGTTTTCTGAATTTATATCAAATTTTAGTTAAATTTGCTGATTTAACATTTTTGTAAGTTAATGGTTAGAATTAAAAACTGAAAATATAGCATTTCATAACAATCCGTTGGATATTATGAATGAAAGTGCACCTACTCCAAATAATTAAGAGTATGCCCAAACAAGAAACATTCTTGCACATAAAAAAGTGGTGCAAAAGCCGAAGGAGGCTTAGGCCCAAATAACAAAAAAACGATATCACGCTCAAAGCAAAAAGGGATGGCCTTAGCGCCCATTATTTTAAAATAATTTTTTTTAATAGATTTAGGGTTTGAAATATTTTTTTTAAGTATTTAATATCTCAGTCTTATTGCTTATGAGAAAACTATTTTAAAAATAAAATTGCACAAAATATACTTGATATGCTAAATGTAACATGGCCAAAAAGATTACTAGTATTTCTTTTGATATTCTTTCATCCGTACATTTCGTCCCAAATAAGTAATTTAATTTTCACTGGAGTGTTACTACGACTTACCTGGTCTTAGTTATGTGATCAACTTGGATTTGTTTTTTAAATATAATCATCATTTTGTCTTTTAAATTTGATCGTCGTGTTGAAAAAAGGACTAAACCTGTCACTCCCACGCATAAAAACTCCCCAAAAAAGGGAACCTGACATGATGCCACTGCCACTTTAAAATTATTATCATAAATGTACAATTCTTACTCTAGTTTTTTGTGGAAGTGTTTGGCATTCTCAAAATCACGGTTTCAGAAACATTTTTTCGTAAAATGAGGTAACTTTCTCAACATATTTATTTCGTAATATGTAAAAGTACTTCTGAAATTATGGTTTAGTTTCTATCCAAACACTCCACTTTTATTCTCTTTGTTCTAATATTTTGGGTAAACGAAAAAGCGACATGTGTCGTTTAGTAGATCATTTGAAGATCAGATGCCGGTAATAGCGGATCTGTTAAAATGAATCTAGCAAAAACTTGTTTATGGTGCTAGATCTTAGTACTGAAATTCATTTCTCACAAGAGAACAATGCTGGAATAAATTATTTGGATGCTTCCATTACAATAAAATCGTGATTTTGAATTAAAAATAGGTTTTTTTTAACATAAAAGGTGTTTGGATTATTTCGAAGTTAAAAAAGATTAATATTTTGCCAGAAATTTTAAAATCAATGAAACCAGTCCCTTATTTTTAAATTGAAAAAATTACAAATAAAGACTTTTGAATATATAAAATTATAATTTGGGATCCTAAATTTGGAAATAGCAAATAAGGACCCTATATCACTTTTGTAAATATGAAATGTAGGTGAAATGTCTGAAATATGCCTCAGTCAAATGACAAGTTGACTATAAGAAATGACAAATTTACTTTAACGAATGACAATTTCAGTAAACGAAATCACAACTTGGCTGATGGTATATTAAATGACAAGTTGATTATGAGAAATGACAAGTTTACTTTAGGTAAACCAAATCACAATTTGACTAAGGGACATTTCAGACATTTCACCCACATTTCATATTTGTGAAATTGAGACCGGGTATTTATTTGCTATTTTTTAAATATGGGGTTTCAAATCATAATTTTACATATTCAGGGGTATTTATTTGCAATTTTTCCTTTTAAATTTCTGATGGAAGAGTTGAGAACAGTCTAGAAGGATGTAGAGAGATGGGCGGCGCCAGATGCTATGAGCTGAAAGACAAAAATCATCGCACTATCACTATGCATTTATATTTATTTTATGCGCTTAAAGTTGTTCACCGAGAAGCCGAGAACCGCCAGAGCAGGTAGGGAGTAGGGTCGGAGTGTCAGATACAGAACCCAAAAAAAAAAGAAAAAAAAAAGGACCATAACGTAATCAAATGATTTTTTTTTATTAATGCATATAGTTTTTTTATTGGAAGAAATTTTCTTTAAAATATTGCAGTGACTAAATACAGCCCAGAGGAATCAAATGAATCTGAATACTTTCCTGGTTTCTTAATTTATAGCTTTGACCCAATCTTGTCATTCATTTTGCATTACACCTTTCCATACAATAAATTTCAAATTCATCTTTCCTTTTGCTTCCTCCCTCCAATCCATTTTACTGAATTCAATTATTTCTTTTTTTTTTAAAAGGTCGAATATGATTAATCCTATCATAAGGCACATTCTTTGGCCAAAAAAAAAATCATAAGGCACATTATATTCTAAAAATTAAATATTTAAAATATAAGTTACTTTATAAAATTAATTAAAAAATGACCGACACATATGTAACAACCATTTTCTCAGCGTTCGCATTGGTGATGTAATCTCTTGCATCACTACTTCTTGCCCATCAAGTTATAGACTTTAAAATCACCGTTTACCTCAGAAAACCTCCTTCGTTGACCGACTCACCTCCAGTCTCCCGCCCTTTCGCTATATAAGAAACCGATCCGCTATCTCAGGTTGCTATAAACCCATCCATTCCCCCCAGATCGGATCCTCAATTCTCAAACAAAGCCAAGTCCAGCCATGGCTTCAAATCAACAAGTGAAGCTTTTCGGAATCGTGGGAAGCCCATTTGTGACGAGAGCAGAGATTGCTCTGAAACTCAAGGGAGTGGAATATGAGTACATTCATGAATCCTTAACGAACAAAAGCGATCTTCTTCTCAAGTACAACCCAGTTCACAAGAAGGTCCCTGTGCTTCTTCACAACGAGAAGCCCGTCTGTGAGTCTCTTGTGGTTGTTGAATACGTCGATGAGGCTTGGACTGGCTACCCCATCTTACCTTCTGATCCTTATCAAAGAGCCCTGGCTCGTTTCTGGTCTAAGTTCATCGATGACAAGGTGATTAAACACTTGCTGCTTCGTCTTCTCTTTGTTTTGTTGTTAGGAATTTGAATGATCGGTCACTAAACAGGTGTTTTGTTGCTTGGTTTTAGTTGTTGCCCGCGGTATTTAAAGCAGCGTGGAACCCAGACGTGAAGGAGAGGGAAACGGGAGCTGAAGAAGCAAGAGAGGCTCTGAAAATTCTGGACAACGAGCTGAAAGGGAAGTTCTTTAATGGAGATTCAATTGGGTTTCTGGACATCGCTGCTCTGTTCGTCGCTTTCTGGATGCAGCTAATTCAAGAAGCGGGTGGGCTGGATCTGTACAGTGCTGAGAGATATCCAAAGCTAGAGAAGTGGGGTCAAGAGATTTTGAACCACCCAGTTGTGAAAGGAGTTTTGCCTCCCAGAGAACATCTCCTCGCCTTCTTCAAAACTCGCTTTCAGAGCATCGCTGCTTCAAAGTAGATGATCCCAAAAATTACCCATAATCCAGCTTCGATTTACTTAATCATCCGGTGTAGTGATTGAGACTGGGAATAAAATATGTGTAACTAGGCTTTTCTCTTGCAATGGAACCTGACTGTTCCTCGGTTTGGGTTATCATGACATAAATCAAGCCTTATTGGCTGTCGTCCTTTCTTAAATCTCATTTTTGTCGTTTTGGTCTGCTAGATTTTTCTTTACCTTGTGTGTTTCATGAAAGCACGAGGGTCTCTTTTCTATTTGATGCGACTATCACTATCCCGTGTTGCCTTAAAATTGCTGAATATGTCGCGATTGAGAAAGTTCTTAAAATTAGACAAGTGAGAAAAGATAATAGATGCTTTGAAAACTTGAGCAGTGTGAGTGAAACTAGAACATGCCCCACACAACTGACCAAAGAGAGTAGATCAGAAACCGAACCTCAAACCGAGAAACCATAAAACTATCAAACACAAATATTAGAATCTCCGGCAAAAGCAATGCCATGGCTTCAAATCCACAAACGAGGCTTTGCTCTCCGAAACTGAAGCGGAAGATAAGGACATATGTTTATGAATGGCTGAAGAGTAAAATTGATCTTCTGATCCAAACTCCAATACAAATCCAATTCATGGGGAGATTTCTGTGCTTCTTCACAATGAGAAACCAATATGCGAGTCGCTTCTGTTCATGAACTGCCACTCAGTTGAACTTGCTAGACTTCAGAAACTCGGTGCCAAAGAGGACTATTTTTTTTGGCCCTAAAGGCAATCCTATTCAATATACTGTCGGTAGTAAATATGGATATCTTTCTCAACAGGAATTCAAACATTGATTTGTCATGTTGTGAGAGATTAGCACCTTTCGTTAGACTTAATTTTTTTCTTTTCAAAGAAGATTATTAGTCAAGAAGATTGGGATTCCTCTTGCTATTGGGCTTGGTCTTTCACGCACTTAAGATGAGGGCTGTACAGGGGCGCTGTTTTCAGAATATGCAGTACAGGCCTGGTCATTGCCACTGCCCAACTTAGTTTCCATTCTCTCTATTATGATATCTGTACGACAAATTTAGTCTCAATTTTCCCACCTGTGATTTAAGGAAAAAAGATAGTTCGAATTTATAAAATTTTGTTTTTATCTGATCAGATGCATATTCAATGCTTATTAGTTTACGTAAATGATAATAAAAACATTTTAGTAAAAATGAACATAGTTGTAGTTCATAATTTTAAAAGGACAGCGTGATTTAATCATCTCTTAGAAAATGACAGTAATATACAATTACGAAAAATTGATATCTAATTGCATGTACTTATAATGAGATTATGTAAGGTCAACATGTGGTTTTTGAATGATTCAACCACCAAGTCAAGTAAATTTTTTCATATATTTAATTTTGATATTTTAAAGTAATTTTTAAAAATATGGTTCATCTTAGATAATTTAAAAGCTTACGAGCTTGTTTGGAATGACTTATAAGTAACTTTTCAAACGTAATTTATGAAATACGAAGTAAGTATTTGATGAGAGTTTTATTTCGACTTACGTGAACTTATTTAAGGGTCCGTTTGGATCAGCGATTGGAAAAGTAGCTTATTGAAAAAGTAGCTTATAGAGAAGTGAAATTGGAAAAAGCTAAATTGGATAAGCTGAATTGTGTTTGGATTAGAGTTCAGAAAAGCTAGATTGCAAAAGTGAGATTGGTAAAAGGTTGTTTGGATTATGATTGAGTAAAAGTAAGTTTGGTTGTAAAATGACCAAAATAGATATGAGTTTTAATAAATAATGAAACATGATTAAAAAAATAATTTCACATAATACAATGAAATTAAAATAATTTAATATGAAGAAGTCATAAAAAATATTTTAAATATAAAGTGAAACATGAAAAAATAAAAGTATATTTTTAGGAGCATATTTAAAAATAAAAGTATATTTCTAACTTATTCATTACTTTCAACTAATTTTAATTGATTTTTTATTATCTACAAATTAGTTATTTGAGGCTTATAATAAGAACCAAAAGAGATAATAAATTTCTTAACTTTTTCTCTTTCCATATTTCAAAAGCCATAAGCTATAAGCTATAAGTCATAAGCTGTTAATTTTAGCTTATAGCTTATTGTAGCTTTTCAGACAAAAGCCTGATTGCAAAAAAGCTGATACAAACAGACTCAATTTTATCAATCGAACTTGTAGAGTTTATAGAGCTTATAAGCTACTTATAAGCTCTAAATAAGTGATGCTAAACAGACACTAAAAGTACTTTCTAAACGGAACTCCAAACGAGCCCTACATTGCACCAAGTCATCAAGCTGGCCGGTCCTACAAACTCTAGCAGGGAGTTTTCACCCTTCGGTTTCTCTCTTCTCCTCCAACTCCCCTAACTTTCGATTTCTCTCTCCTCAGTAACCACATGAACTATACAGCTTTCTTATGAATTCTCATTGAGTTGAAGCATCCCCTGAATTATTTTTATTGCCCTACGTAACATGATGGGAAGATTAAACCACGGCATGTGGGGGACTCTACAGTACATCCGTTTAATTTGGATCATCATATCATAAACAAAGTTTTATTGTCTGTTGTCGTTTTTCTCAAATATACGTTTGGTTTTCTGGATATTTTTTGTTTTTTACAATATAATCATCTTTTTATCTCTTAAATTTGATCGTCGTGTTGAAAAAAGAAGTACAATTGTCACTCCCACGCATAAAAACACCCCAAAAGAGGGAACCTCACATGATAGCCCCTGCCACTGTAATATCATAAATGTATAATTCTTATTCTTGATTTTTGTAAGGCCATGCCATTCGTGCAGTGCAGTATGATAGTTCCTCTTGAGCACCTTAATATTAATTAATTCACTATAAATACGTACACATTTTAAACTCAATAAAAATGACATAGATCTGGCATCCATTATTTTAAAGAAAACATCCTCCCTATTTTTTTTAAATATACTCTCATTCTCTCTGTTCTAATATTTTGGGCAAACAAAAAGCTGACACGTGTCATAGGAACTAGTTTTAGTGCTCATCATCTTGATGAACACTATAAACTCATCATAGTTGGACTCCTTATCTCTGATTTAAACAGTCTAGATTTAAAATCTTTAATTAATTATTTTTAGTTGAAAAATATTTTTTAAAAGAATGATGATTAAGAGATTATCTCTACTTTAAATTCTATATATACTAAAATAATTATTTTAAATAAATAAAAATATAAAAAATTAAATATAGACCATCTAAATGAGATATGAATATTTCAGATCTGATGAGTTTAGAATATACTGGTTCTGTGTGGTTTATGAGATGCCGGTAATAACAATCCGTTAAAATTATTCTGGAAACTTGTTCATGGTGCTAGGTCTTAGCACTGAAATCGTGATTTTGAATTAAAAAATAGCTTTTTTAACATTAAGGGTGTTTGGATTATTTTGAAGTTAAAAAAAGATTAATATTTTGCCAGAAATTTTAAAATCAATAAAGGGCCTGTTTATAGAACAATTTATAAGCAACCGTTCAATAGCCAATTATAAGGAATTTTCATTACTATCCCAAACAGTCTGAAACCAGTCCCTTGTTTGCAATTTCAGCGGCAGAGCTGAGAACAGTCTAGGAGGATGTAGAGAGACAGGCGGCGCAAGATGCTACGAGCTGAAAGGCAAAAATCATCGGACTGTCACTATGCATTTATATTTATTCTGCATGCGCCTCAAGTTGTCCACTTAGAAGCCGAGAACCGCCAGAGTAGGTAGGATCGGAGCGTAATGGAGGACCAAAACATTTGACCTTGTTAACGTAATCAAGTGATTTTTTTATTAATACATATAATTTTTTATTGGAAGAAAATTTCTTTGAAATATTGCAGGGACTACAGCTCACAGTAATCAAATGAATTTGAAGACTTTCCTGTTTTCTTAAGTAATAGCTTTGACCCAATCTTCTCGTTCATTTTGCCTTTACACCTTTCCATACAATAAATTTCAAATTCATCTTTCCTTTCGCTACATAAGAAGCCGATCCGCAGGCCCAGGGACCATAAACCCATCCATGCTCCCCAGATCAGATCCTCGATTCTCAAACAAAACCAAGTCCAGCCATGGCTTCGAATCAACAAGTGAAGCTTTTCGGAATCGTAGGAAGCCCAGTTGTGACGAGAGCAGAGATTGCTCTGAAACTCAAGGGAGTGGAATATGAGTACGTTCATGAATCCTTGACTAACAAGAGCGATCTTCTTCTCAAGTACAACCCAGTTCACAAGAAGGTCCCTGTGCTTCTTCACAACGAGAAGCCCATCTGTGAGTCTCTTGTGGTCGTTGAATACGTCGATGAGGCTTGGACTGGCTACCCCATCTTACCTTCTGATCCTTATGACAGAGCCCTGGCTCGTTTCTGGTCTAGGTTCATCGATGACAAGGTGACTAAACACTTCGAGTTTTGTCTTCTCTTTGTTTTCTTATTACGAATTTGAATGATCGGTCACTAAACAAGTGTTTTGTTGCTTGGTTTTAGTTGTTGCCCGCGGTATTTAAAGCAGCGTGGAACCCAGACGTGAAGGAGAGGGAAAAGGGAGCTGAAGAAGCAAGAGAGGCTCTGAAAATTCTGGACAACGAGCTGAAAGGGAAGTTCTTTAATGGAGATTCAATTGGGTTTCTGGACATCGCTGCTCTGGTCATCGCTTTCTGGATGCCGATAATTCAAGAAGCTGGTGGGCTTGATCTGTACAGTGCTGAGAGATATCCAAAGCTAGAGAAGTGGGGTCAAGAGATTTTGAATCACCCAGTTGTGAAAGGAGTTCTGCCTCCCAGAGAACATCTCCTCGCCTCCTTCAAAACTCGCTTTCAGAGCATCGCTGCTTCAAAGTAGATGATCACATAAATTACCCATGGTCCATCTTCGACTTACTTAATCATCCCGTGTTGTGATTGAGACTGGGAATAAAATGTGTAACTAGGCTTCGCTCTTGCAAGGGAAACTGACTGTTCTTCGGTTTGGGTTATCATGTCATAAGTCAAGCCTTATTGTTTGTTGTCCTTTCTTAAATCTCATTTTTGTCGTTTTAGTCTGCTAGAGTTTTCTTTAACTTTTGTGTTTCCATGAAAGCACGAGGATCTCTTTTCTATTTGGTGCCAAAACTTCGAAATTCAATCATTTGTTTAATTTTCGGCCAAAAAAAAAAATCATTTGTTTAATTTTGATGCGACTATCATTATCCCCTCTTGCCTTAAAATTGCTGAATGTGTCGCGATTGAGAAGGTTCTTAAAATCAGGTAAGTTTCTTATTCTGAGGAGAGAGAAAAATATTAAATGCTTTCAAAACTCGAGCAGAGTGAATGACACTCTATCATATGCCCTCGATAAATGACTAAAGAAAGTAGATCAGAAACTGAACCTCAGACCGAGAAGCCATAAAACTGCTAAACACAGATATTAGAATCTCCAGGAAAAGCAATGCCATGGCTTCAAATCCACAAACGAGGCTTTACTCTCTGAAACTGAAGTGGAACATGAGGAGGACGTGTATTTTAAGAGGGGCTGAAGAACAAAATTGATCTTCTGATCCAAACTCCAATACAAATCCAATTCATGGGGAGATTTCTGTTTTTCTTCACAATGAGAAACCTATATGCGAGCCACTTCTGTTCATGAACTGCTAAACCACTAATTATACTACCTCCGATAGTAATTATAAGGTCTCATTTGTAAACTAGAAACGAGATCTTATACTGGAGGTTGTACAAAGACATTGGGACAGTCAGTTGAACTTGCTAGACTACAGAAACTCAGTGCCAAAGAGGATTATTAGTCAAGAGGATTTGGATCCCTCTTGCTATTGGGCTTGGTCTTTCACGCCCTTAAGATGAGGGCTGTACGAGGGCGCTGCTTTTACATTGTGCAATCCAGGCCCAGTCATTGCCGTTGCCCAACTTAGTATCTGTTCTCTCTATTTGGACATCTGTACAATAAATTTCAAGGAACAAAAAACCGGACCGGGTATTAAACCGGTTGAGACAGTGGGTTAAGGGTTACTGGTCGGACCGAGGTCGGACCGGGGTCAGACCGGTCATATTAAAATAAAATAATTTAATTCATAATATTATGTATCTTGTTGATAAAAATGCAACCAGTAAAGGATATACTCCTCATCAATTGAATACGATGTATCTTGTTGACTCAATCTTAAAACTTTAAAGTACTATCAGTTATGATTGAGGGGGGGGGGCAGAAGCAAGAACGGTGAATGCTGTTTATAAGCTTATTTGTTGCGATGCCTTAACATTAATTTACTTACAGTTCCAAATTCCAATACAAGGCAAGTATATTTTTGCCATAAATCATATCCTCTGTCTCTCAACTAAAGATTTTTCTCTTGTTAAAATTAAAAACGAAAAAAAGATACTTTTCCTAGGTACAATCTTAATCTTTACATGCGCAGCAGCGTAGGAAATAACCGGTTATCTCCTCCCTTCCCAAACCTTTCGTTCAACAGCAAAAGAGAAAGAAGGCACAATCCAGCTGAAAGGGAAAATTTTTGAGCTTACCCACACACAACTTAATGCATCGAAGACGAAGGGAACACTAACTTGCGATGAAGCGATTTTGGGGCTTAGACCTGCGGCAACTTGCGATGATTGCGATTTTGCATTTTGGAGCTCAGACCCTCAGACTTACAAGCTTAGATGGTTGAGGGAGACTGGAGATCAGACTTGCGAGATTGCGATTTTGGAGCTCTGTCGAACAAGGAGCTCTGCCGGAGATCGCTGTGCTGTCAGTGACGCCAGGGAGCAAGGATTTTGGAGGAGGTGATTTTGGTTTTAGGGAGGGAGGCGAGATGCTATTTTGCGAGCCAGAGGAAATGGGGAATCAGATATTCAGATTCGGGGGAGGGAAATAGGGGGAAGTCGACGGGAAAGGGAATTAGGAAAGGAAGAAGGAATTTTTTTTTTAAACGGAACCGGCTGACCCAGTGAACCGGGATTACCCGGTTTTGTACCGGTTATGACCGGTTCAACCGGTTCTTTACCGGTTCGATAGGATCCCGGTTCAACTCCTGAACCAGACCGGACTGCAGACCGGTTCACCGGTTTTCCGGTCGAACCGGCCGGTCCGGTCCGGTTTTTTTTCCATCCATGATAAATTTAGTCTCAATTTTCCCACGTGTGATTTGGGGGATAGTTCGAATTTATAAAATTTTTTTTTCTGGTCAGATGCATATTCAATGCTTATTAATTTACATAAATGATAATAAAAACATTTTAGTAAAAATGAACATAATTGTAGTTCATAATTTTAAAAGGACAGTGTGATTTGATAATCTCTTGGAAAATGACAGTAGTGTGCAACTGCAAAAAATTAATACTCCTCCGATACTTAATATAGGACTCAATTCTTGAGTTGGTTTTGGTCCTAAATATAAGACTCATTTCTCATATTTATCAATGTTCTCTAAATTATCCCTATAGATACTCTCTCAACCATAATCAAGTAGAAAAGGGAGATGAGGTATTAAGAAGGATGATTATGATATTTTAGGAAAAATGTGTCATTTTTTTTATAATTAACTAACTTACCTAACTTCCTTAATCTAATCAAATTAGTTAAATGGGTCTTATATTAAGGACCGGAGGAGTACCTAGTTGCATGTACTTATAATGAGATTATGTAAGGTAAACGCGTAGTTTTTGAATGATTCAACCACCAAGTCAAGTAAATTATCAGCCTTCTGTTTTTTTTTTTTCTGGGTCACCAAAGGAAATATCACACACAAAAACACAGGCACAAAGCAGCATGCCCATGAGCGTGCTCCAGGAGATGAGCTTTCCTATAAAAATGTGTCGCTTTTCCGCCTGTCAGTTTCCACTGAAGAGTCTTTTTGAGCAGTATTAACGTTGCCTGTCTAGCTAATCTCGGATCGGATCGGATCCTCCTAAACTAATCCTCTTCAACTACTCTTCTCATAAATGTACTCCTCCGGTCCTTAATATAAGACCTATTTAACTAATTTGATTAGATTAAGGAAGTTAGGTAAGTTAGTTAATTATGAGAAACGTGATGCGTTTTTCCTAAAACACCATAATCATCTTTCTTAATACCCCATCTCCCTCTTCTACTTGATTATAGTTGAAGGAGTATCCATGGGGGTAATTTAGAGAAAATTGATAAATATGAAAAATAGGTCTTATATTTAAGACCAAAACCAATTTAATAATTGAGTCCTATATTAAGGACCGGAGGAGTATCTACTGCTACATCACACTGATGAATCGGCTGTATTCACCCTTAGCGCGTCTTTACCCTCCTCGCGGCTATATAAGAAACTACCGAAGGACCCATCACATGCAGATCAGATCTTGAATGTCAAGCTCTGCGGCAAAAGAATAAGAAGCAGCAAACAGGCATATGGCTGAAAAGCAAGAGGTGAGGCTTTTCGGAATCGTGGGAAGCCCAGAGACGACGAGGGTAGAGATTGCCCTGAAGCTTAAGGGAGGGGCATATGAGTACGTTCATGAGTCTCCCACGAACAAAAGTGATCTTCTTCTCAAGTATAACCCAGTTTACAAGAAGGTTCCTGTGCTTGCCCACCACGGAAAGCCAGTATATGTGACTCTCTTGTGATTCTTGAATACGTTGATGAGACGTGGAAAGCTTGTCCCATCTTGCCTTCTGATCCTTACCAGAGAGCCTTGGCTCGTTTCCGGTCCAAGTTCATCGACGACAAGGTTAGAGAACTCAAGTTGCATCTTTTCTCTGTCTTCTAATTAGTAGGAATTTGGGCTGAGTTCTGAAATGCAAAATCATTAAACCTCTCTTAACATTTTCTATGATCATTTAGCTTATAAACAAGCTTTCTGCTTAGGGAAAAAAGTTTGTCTCTCTCCCTGAAATATTTGTTCAAAACAGGATTTTTTGTGCTAAATTGGATCGTCGTGCTTAAAAAAGAAGTAAACTTGTCTCTCCCACGCATAAAAACTCCCCAAAAGAGGGAACCTGACATAATAGCCACTACCACTTTAAAATTATTATCATAAATGTCTAATTCTTGTTCTTGTTTTTTGCAAGGCCATGCCATTCGTGCAACATGATAGTTCCTTTTGAGCACCTTAAAATTAATTAATTCACTGTAAATACGTACACGTTTTAAACTTCAATTAAAAGGAAAATTTTTTTTGAAGGAATGATGGTTAAAAAATTATCTCTATTTTAGATTATATATATATTAAAATAATTATTTTAAATAAATAAAAAAAGTCAAATAATGACCATCTAAATGAGATATAGATGTTTCAGATATGCTGAATTTAAGTGCACTGGTTCCATGCCCTTTATTAAGTCATATGAAGATCAGATGCGGGTAATAACAGATTTGTTAAAACTAATCCGACAAAAACTTGTTTATGGTGCAGATCTTAGGGTGTGTTTGGATGAAACCAAACTATGGTTTGGAGAATAGCTTTTGGAGAATAGATTCTAAAAAAAATAGATTTTGGGAAGAATAGATTTTGTGAAAAAGTGATTTTGAGAAGTGTGAGTGTTTGGATAGTTGTTATTAAAAGTACTTTTTATATATACAAATTGGCATAAATTAATATGATAATTATAGAAAAATATATTTATGATATATTTTAATTTGAAGGAATAAAATTGTTAATAATATATTTTTATTAACATATATTAATAATATATAAGATAATATAATTAATAAATAATTAATATGTATATATATTTATAAGATATAAGATTAAATATATTTATAAAAAAAAACAACAAGATACATATCTTATAGGCTCTCACACTCTTCCTTTTCCTCCAAAAATAAAAAATTTCTGCTTTTCTCAAAACCATGGTTTTGGACTCAAAACCATGGTTTTGAACCCAAATCGTGGTTTTGATTTTTTTAAGGTTGTTTGGCTAACATTGGTGACAATCTTTCCGGTTATCATAGCTCTGGTATTCAAAGCTGAGAGTCCTAACGTGGCCCGTTGATGAGTTGAGAATGAGTGGCCTTACCTGGACAGAGCCTTGAATATCAGACTATGCTAGCTTGGTCCGATTCAGCTAACACCCCCGAGTGTGCTTTCCTCATGAGTTCTCTCTAAATTTCTCTCTTCTTCTGAAAGCCTCACTTATGATATCTTTCTTCTGTCGCCAGAGATTCTAAGTATGCTCTGCACTTGCTTCTTTAAGAGGATCCTGTGCATCAGAAAATAGAATCTGACCACGATCCATGAAGGAGTGTTTGGTGACAATCTTTCCGGTTATCATAGCTCTGGTATTCAAAGCTGAGAGTCCTAACGTGGCCCGTTGATGAGTTGAGATTTTTTTTGTTGAAGTTAAAAAAGATTAATATCTTGCCAGGAATTTTAAAATCAATGAAAACAGTCCCTTATTTTCAATTTCAGCGGTAGGGTGGAGAATAGTCTAGAAGGATGTAGAGAGATAGGCGGCGCAAGATGCCGTGAGCTGAAAGGCAAAAATCATCGAACTGTCACTATCCATTTATATTGGGCTTGTTTGGTTGTCACCTGAACAATATCAATTTTGAGTTAATAATCTGAAATTATGGTTTTAGAGTCTAAAATCATAATTTTAAGAGAAGTGAATATATTTTGCTTCTAATTCAAATTAAAGAGTATAATTGTATCTGTTAGAGTAGTTCTCAACAATAATATGACTTTAACATCCCTCAATTATTTTTTTATAAACATATTTAATCTTATATCTTACAAATATATATACACATATTAATTATTTATTAATTATATTATCTTATGTATTATTAATTATATTGGTAAAAAAATATATTATTAACAATTTTATTCCTTCAAATTAAAATATATCATAAAATCTATCTTTTATGTAGAAAATGTATTAACAACTATCCAAACATTTGGCGGCTAATACATATAATTTAACGTAATCAAGTGATTTTTTTATTAATACATATAATTTTTTATTGGAAGAAAATTTCTTTGAAATATTGCATTGACTAAAGACAGCTCACAGTAATCAAATCAATTTGAAGACTTTCCTGTTTTCTTCAAGTTATAGCTTTGACCCAATCGTCTCATTCATTTTTCCTTCACACCTTTCCATGCAATAAATTTCAAATTCATCTTTCCTTTTGCCATATAAGAAACCGATCCGCAGGCCCAGGGACCATAAATCCATCCGTTCCCCCCCAGATCAGATCCTCGATTCTCAAACAAAACCAAGTGCAGGCATGGCTTCAAATCAACAAGTGAAGCTTTTCGGAACCGTAGGAAGCCTATTTGTGACGAGAGCAGAGATTGCTCTGAAACTCAAGGGAGTGGAATATGAGTACATTCATGAGTCCTTGACCAACAAAAGCGATCTTCTTCTCAAGTACAACCCAGTTCACAAGAAGGTCCCTGTGCTTCTTCACAACGAGAAGCCCATCTGTGAGTCTCTTGTGGTCGTTGAATACGTCGATGAGGCTTGGACTGGCTACCCTATCCTGCCTTCTGATCCTTATCAAAGAGCCCTGGCTCGTTTCTGGTCTAGGTTCATCGATGACAAGGTGATTAAACACTTGGAGCTTTGTCTTCTCTTTGTTTTCTTATTACGAATTTGAATGATCGGTCACTCAACAAGTGTTTTGTTGCTTGGTTTTAGTTGTTGCCCGCGGGATTTAAAGCAGCGTGGAACCCGGACGTGAAGGAGAGGGAAAAGGGAGCTGAAGAAGCAACAGAGGCTCTGAAAATTCTGGAAAACGAGCTGAAAGGGAAGTTCTTTAATGGGGATTCAATTGGGTTAGTGGATATCGCCGCTCTGTTCATCGCTTTCTGGATGCCGATAATTCAAGAAGCTGGTGGGCTTGATCTGTACCGTGCTGAGACATATCCCAAGCTAGAGAAGTGGGGTCAAGAGATTTTGAATCACCCAGTGGTGAAAGGAGTTTTGCCTCCCAGAGAACATCTCCTCGCCTTCTTCAAAACTCGCTTTCAGAGCATCGCTGCTTCAAAGTAGATGATCCCAAAATTACCCATAATCCAGCTTCGATTTACTTAATCATCCGGTGTAGTGATTGAGACTTGGAATAAAACACGTGTAACTAGGCTTTTCTCTTGCAAGGGAACCTGACTGTTCTTCGGTTTGGGTTATCACGTCATAAATCAAGCCTTATTGGCTGTCGTCCTTTCTTAAATCTCATTTTTGTCGTTTTGGTCTGCTAGATTTTTCTTTAACTTGTGTGTTTCATGAAAGCACGAGGATCTCTTTTCTATTTGGTGCCAAAACTTCGAAGTTCAATCATTTGTTTAATTTTGATGCGACTATCACTATCCCGTGTTGCCTTAAAATTGCTGAATGTGTCGCGATTGAGAAGGTTCTTAAAATTAGATAAGTTTTAGTCTGAGTAAAAATATTAGATGCTTTGAAGACTTGAGCAGAGTGAATGACGCTACAATGTGCCCTCCATAACTGACCAAAGAGAGTAGATCAGAAACCGAACCTCAAACCGAGAAACACGGATATTAGAATCTCCGGCAAAAGCAATGCCATGGCTTCAAATCCCCAAACGAGGCTTTACTCTTCGAAACTGAAGTGGGAGATAGGGACACATATTTATGAATGGCTGAAGAGTAAACTTGATCTTCTGATCCAAACTCCAATACAAATCCAATTCATGGGGAGATTTTCGTGCTTCTTCACAATGAGAAACCAATATGCGAGTCGCTTCTGTTCATGAACTGCTAAGCCAATAATTATACAAAATATTGGGACATTCAGCTGAACTTGCTAGACTGCAGAAACTAGGTGCCGAAGAGTTTTTTTTTTTTTGGCCTGAAAGGTAATTCTATTCAAGATACTGTCGGGTTCTAATATGGGCTCCTCTTTCGGGTGTGTTTCGAACTTTGATTTGCTATGTTATGAGGGATTAGCCCCTTCTGCTAAACTCAACCGTCTATTGGTCAAAGAGGATTATTGGTGAAGAAGATTTGGATTCCTCTTGCTACTGGGCTTGGTCTTTCACGCCCTTAAGATGAGGGCTGTACAGGGGCTCTGTTTTCAGAATATGCAATACAGGCCCAGTCATTGCCACTGCCCAACTTAGTATCTATTCTCTCTATTATGACGTCTGTACAATAAATTTAGTCTCAATTTTCCTCCCTGTGATTTAAGGGGAAAAAGGTAGTTCGAATTTTTAAAATTTTGTTTTTATCTGATCAGATGAATATTCAATGCTTATTAATTTACATAAATGATAATAAAAACATTTTAGTCAAAATGAACATGGTTGTAGTTCATAAGGTTAAAAGGACCGCGTGATTTGGTTATCTCTTGGAAAATGATAGTAATATGCAATTGAGAAAAATTGATATCTAATTGCATGTATTTTATAATGAGACGATGTAAGGTAAACATGTGGTTTTTGAATGACTCAACCACCAAGTCATGTAAATTATCAACCTCCCGTTTTTTCTTTTCTTTTGTTTTTTTTTTTGGGGGTCGCAAAAGGAGATATCACACACAGAAAGCAGCATGCCCATGAGTGTGCTTCAGGAGATGAGCTTTCCTATAAAAATGTGTCGCTTTTCCACCTGTCAGTCTCCACTGAAGAGTCTTTTTGAGCAGCACTAACGTTGCGCGTCTAGCTAACCTCGGATTAGATCCTCCTAAACTAATTTTCTTCAACAACTCTTCTCATAAATGTACCTACCACCATATCACATTGATGAATCAATTTTATTCACCCTTAGCGTGTCTTTACCCTCCTCATGGCTATATAAGAAACCACCGAAGGACCCATCACATGCAGATCAGATCTTGAATGTCAAGTTCTGCAGCAAAAGAATAAGAAGCAGCAAAGAGGCATATGGCTGAAAAGCAAGAGGTGAGGCTTTTTGGAATCGTGGGAAGCCCAGAGACGACGAGAGTAGAGATTGCCCTGAAGCTTAAGGGAGTGGCATATGAGTACGTTCATGAGTCTCCCACCAACAAAAGCGATCTTCTTCTCAAGTATAACCCAGTTTACAAGAAGGTTCCTGTGCTTGCCCACCACGAAAAGCCAGTATGTGACTCTCTTGTGATTCTTGAATACGTTGATGAGACGTGGAAAGCTTGTCCCATCTTGCCTTCTGATCCTTACCAGAGAGCCTTGGCTCGTTTCTGGTCCAAGTTCATCGACGACAAGGTTAGAGAACTCAAGTTGCATCTTTTCTCTGTTTTATAATTAGCAGGAATTTGGGCTGAGTTCTGAAATGCAAGGTCATTAAACCTCTATTAACCTTTTCTATGATCATTTAGCTTATAAACAAGCTTTCTGCTTAGGAAAAAATTTTGTCTCTCTCCCTGAAATATTTTTTCAAAAAAGGATTTTTTGTGTTGAAGTTTTTATTATGGAGCATAGGCGATTAATTAGCTGAGCATTGTGCAGGTGATACCAGCAATATTCAAAGCATCCCTGAACCCAAACGAGAAGGAGAGAGAAAAAGGGAAGGAAGAAGTATCGGAGGCTCTGCAAATAATGGAAAATGAGCTGAGAGGGAAGTTCTTCCATGGAGATTCAATTGGGATTGTGGACATTGCTGCCGTGTACGTTGCTTTCTGGCTTCCAATAATTCAAGAAGCCGGCGGCCTTCAACTCTTTACTGCTGACAAATTCCCAAAGCTTGAGAAATGGACTCATGAATTTCTGAATCTCCCTTATGTGAAGCCAACTTTACCTCCAAGAGAAAAGCCCCTTGCCTACTACAAAAATCTCTTTCACAGCCTTGCTTCTTCCAAGTAGACGAACCAAGCATGTGCTATTATCAGTGGTGCATCTTTCATGAGTTTTGTAGTTTCATGTCAAAATAAAATATAAACATCTCAGGTTGACTCAGATGCTATTAAAAAAAAATGCAGTGGATCGTAGGGATTTATCTTGATGGTTATGTGCTTGGATTAATGTGTCATGTGCAAAATTTATGATATGATGCCGTTCATTACACCGTCTTTGGTTCTTATTAGGTATGGGGCTCCAATACTGAAGGGTGGGCTTGCAAAAACTCAAACCCACTCTTCCAAACTACAAATGACAACATTATGGGAAATGGGCTCCATTGTTTTACCTTTCAATTCCGAAGGGTAGCCCACCTTGTAGTCCATATTCCATTACCCTTTAACTTTTTAGTCTGTACCAAAAAAAAAAAACCTTTTTAGTTTGATGTATCAAATGTACCAAAAGAAAAACCAACAGGGTTCGGTCTAGAAAGGGCTTAGTCTTCCACAACGTGGTGAATCAAGGTTTGAATCCCCGCTGGGAGAGATATCCGCATTTAGTGTCCGACAGTGCATCGAATATGATTGCTTCCAATAAAAGGGTATCCATGCTTTAGCAAAAAAAATCTAATTAAGCATCAGGTCTAATAAACCGATTTGTGGGAACAAGTTAAAAACTTGGGATTAGCTTGGTTAAATATTTCTTCTTTGTTTTTTTTTTCTTTTTAATGTTGTCATTGAGTATATTTCGTGTGTCGTTCATCAGATAAATTAAATTATCCTTTTTGTGCGTGTTCTCCCCTTTCCTCCCTTCTGCTTTGCACGCGCACAGATGAGTAAAATTGATATATATATATATATATAGTGTATATATCTCTGTATTTAAACTTTATAGCATTTTTATTATGTTTATGACTAGTGATTCAATTAAAATATAAACAAACATTAAGTTTAACAATTTAATTCAAACAAGGAATGCGCTTGAATATTTATAGCTCTTGGACAAAATGTGAAAGGAGAGGAGAGTTAGACAGAACAGATGCAAAAGCAGCTTTGGATTAAATGAAAGTAGAAATTATATATATATATATATATATATATATATCTCTCTCTCTCTCCCCCACAAGTCATTATGTGAAAAGGCAAAGGAGAAGTGGAGACCAACTTTAGTTGTTAGGAGTTATAGCCGTTGGTAGAATGAGCCTTTCACATAACTCTTTCTTTTTTTGTTGTTTTCATCTGCAAATTCTGTTGGAACAACTTTCTTCATCATTGTCATTGCTATGATCAAATAGAAAGTGTGTGTTAGTTTTGGTTTGGAGTAGGCTAAGCCTTGTAAGGAAAGTTATTAACTAACTTCTCATCACCCCACTAATCATATTTCTGTTTAACACAAGCCCCCCCTTATTTTTGTAGGCTCATTTTCATTAAAGTTAAACACATTAAAAGGAACCTAATAAGGATAGAAATGTAATTATGAACACAGTCTACCTTTTCGTTTGTTATCTTTGTTGTACATATTGTTACTGGTACTTATGCTTGGTTGTATATATATTGATTAGTTGTTGATAGAACACAATGACATTGTGTGATTCATATTAGCCGACCTTACCTAACGGGATAAGGCTTGTTTTGTTATATATACTACCTGTCCTAATTATAAGAGCCAGTTGACTAATTTGAGATTAAGGAAGTAAGTTGAGTTAGTTAGTTGTCCTAAATAGGTGTTGTCTTTCCTAAAATATCCTTACTAATCAAGTGTATTAACTAGAACTATAATTATTAGAAGGACTATCTTGAAAAAAATTGAGTAAATATGAGAAACAAAGTGGATTGGGGTCTTATATTAGGATCAAAATAAAAGTCAAATAGGGTTTTATATTAAGAGGTAGTATTATAATATTGTTGCTGGTCCTTAGGATACCTTTCATGGGATGCTTCATCCAAAAATATCCTGACAATAAAATCGTTTGAACACTTTATGTGGGTTTGTTAATAAACTAAATTAGAAAAGAAATGTAAGTACATGGAATGAAATTTGGATGAGATAGATTTAGATGTAACTTGCTAGTTTAAAAAAAAAATGCAACTTTTAAATAGTTAGTTGTTATTTTTCTTTTTCACACATGAAAATTAATATAACTGAGGTTCTAATAACTTATCAAGATTAGGATATACCTCAAGACTTGAGGAACATTTACGAAGTATTCATAGATTGCCCTCCTATTGACTCATCCAAATTCAAATATTACTGAGCTTAGAAAAAAAAATTCTCTCCTTATCTAACTTCAGTGTGAATCTACCATTAGAGACAATCTACTGTCACAAAGTTATAATTTTTAAGAAAAAGGTCACTTTAGTGAGTTCAGGACATATCAGAGCTTGATGTTGGATTTTATCAAGAAAGAAAAAAAAAGAGAAAATGGAAAGGACAAATCAGAGCGGAGGCAAAGCAAAAGAGATTAGGAATAATAATAATAGTTAATTGCTAAGGGCTCCCGCAGGGTAATTGCTTAGTATTTGAGAAATGAGGATGTCTTCTCTCCCACACTCAAATCATCAAAGTTAAAACTTTTTTTAAAATAATGTTAGATATGATTTCTTTTCTCTCACTGAATAAAAAACGATGCACTAATTTTTGTAGGAAAATTAATTTGTAATCAGTATTTTAAACATTATATTATCATTAATCTTTAAATTGGAATTAAAAAAGTTCACAGTTTACCAGTCTAAACATTACTAAATAATTAAGTTATTTTGTACGAAAATAAAAAGTGTTTGCAAATAAATATTTAAAAGATAAAAAAGTGGATCAAAATGTTTTGCAGTAAACCTTCATGAAATGATTTGGACAAAATCTAATAATTATATTAAATTTATAACCAGAATATCAAAATTTTAATTTAGAGAAATAATTAAAATACAAGTTTTTAAACTGTTTTGCCCAACTAATTTGTTAACAATTAATTATTTGCATGTGTATGGATAAATTTAGAACATCTTATGGCCAAAAAAATAGGGGACAAAATTTAACCAGATACACTTATTTCAACACCACGAGTGAAGTACTGTGATAAAAGACAATACCGGTTTTATAATATACATTAATTTTTTATATTTTTGCTAACAACTATGATTATACTTGTAATTTTTTAGGCAAATCATATTTATATTATTTTGTTATTTGACACAAATAAATGTAAATTTCATGAAATACAAAATATTTTTTTGAAAATTAATATAAAATAAATTTCTACATTTTAAAATTGTATGAAATATATATTTCAATAATTTATATATTTAATAACAAATTAATTTAAAAGCAACCACCTTTTTATGATAAACATGAGTAGGGGATGTTTTTTATAACAGAGTAGTGTATAACTTGACCGGAAATTGGGTATACATTATGGGACAGATCCGTGGTTTACACGATTCCCATGACATTTCTTTATTATAATTTAAACAAATCTCACATTGATCAATACCCTTATCGTTTTGCTTAAGCAAAAAAGCTCGAAAAGTAAACATTAGAGGGAGGAAATTTTACAGTGTACTTACAATAATGAAGAAACAGTTTTTTAGCAAAAAAAAAAGAGAAGAAGTAAAAAGTGGTGAACAGAGCATTCTATTCAGGCATAAGCGAATCTGGGAGGTCTGAAAGTGGTTTTTCTCTCATCCCATCTTTCTTCCTGCCCATCACACAATAGGCTTTCGCTAGCTTCAGTAATCATCACCACTTCGTCCTTTGCGTATAAGTAACAATCAAAGGGCTCTCGCAAAATGGTCCATAGGTTCCTCCACATTGTCCAATCTTCTTCTCCTACCCTTCACTGTTGAGTGTTGACAGTGCTTTCACCTACAGGAAGAAAACAGACCCATTGGTGAGGGTTGTAAACATCAAACCCCAAACCCATAAAGTCCATTTTGAACTTCGGGGATTCTGTGTGTCTCAATGTCTTCGATTTTTGCATTACAGAGCTCGATTCTCACATGGGTTTTGCTCGAGAGGGGTTCAGGATAATTTTTTCTTAAAGAAGAATAGTTACAATGGAGGGTTTCATGGAGAAGAATGAAGCTATGGAAGGAAAGAAAGAGGAGGGAAATGGGGGAAAAATTGATGCTTGTGCTGACTTCGTGGAGGAAAAGGGTCGCCACAGCTGTTCCAGTTCTGAATTTCTATCATCTGAGACGACAGGGCATGAAGAGCAAAATCAGAGCAGTACTGAGGAATCACCTTCTCCACCTTCAACAATGGGATGGCCTGTTAAGGAGATTGATGATGGAGAGAAAAAGAACTTGGATGATAAGAAAATGGAGAAGCAAGTTTCAGTGTTATCAGGTATGCCCACTCTGCTCTAAGTATCTAGGATTATTTTAATTATTCTCGCTGAACAAAATATCGGTACTAATCTGATTCTGATTCTCGCCACTAGAGATTGAGATGATGAAAGAGAGGTTTGCAAAATTGTTACTCGGAGAAGATATGTCTGGTTGTGGAAATGGAGTCCCTACTGCCTTGGCTATATCAAATGCCATAACTAATCTATGTGGTATGAAAATTCCGATGTTCTCGTGTTGTTCGTGTGCTTTCCCCGTCAATTAAAGGTTGTTATTCTGTTTCTTAGTTATTAAACATAGCTTTACTGCTTTGCAGCCACCCTCTTTGGGCAAGTATGGAGATTAGAACCATTGCCTCCTGAGAAAAAAGCAATGTGGAGAAGAGAGATTGAGTGGCTTCTTTGTGTCAGCGATCACATTGTTGAGTTGACACCTACTTGGCAGACTTTTCCAGATGGTAGCAAGCTTGAGGTAAACTGTACGCACATTTTCAGAATGGATATATGCATCTGTAAATTTTGCTGGTAAAAATGGCAATGAAGATAGTCTAGTACTGATGGTAATGACCAATATTACTCTTTTTTTCTTTTTCCCCCCCCTTCAGCGTCACAACCACATTTGCCAAACCTTATGGCATCCAAGTCCACCAATTTGACATAGGAATTAGCATAAAGGCGAGTCCTAAAGAGTTGTGGCAGACTTGCGTATTTGCTTGATGTCACTGTCGTGGCATTTGAAATGCAGGATTTACATAGAAAAAGATTGCACTGACTCTCCTTTCTCAATTAGTTCTTGCTTGCTAAATTTTCTGGCATAGGAAAAGGAAAAAAAATTTACGTGGTCATCTTTGCGTTACCCTTAAGAAGTGTAACTTCATGCTTTATGGTCGATTAATTTTTAGGATTATTCTTGATTCGACACTTCCCCTTCATTTTCCCATTTGTTTGGTTGGGAGTCAAGCCAGGGGAAATACCCCGAAAATTTCACATTAGTAATGGCCCAAAGAGAAATTTAATCTTGGGTTTCTTCCCCCTCCCAAAGATCTTGGTCATGAAGGAATTTCCTTCCTTTTACTTGTTTGCTTGTGTCTATTGGCCCCCCTTCCAAGTATGGCCTGGCTTCACCCATGAGCCATGTTTGTGCCCTGTGTAATCTTGAATGTAGCGCCATGGTATCGTCAAGGTCTGCTTTGTGTGATTTGAGTCGATTTAATTTCGTTAATCATATAAATTTTATTTTGTTTCTCTTAACTTTTTTCGATGCATTGCATATGTTGATTTTATTGCTTCAACTGTAACGTGGAATTTTTCTTAACTGACGTTGCCACCATGTTTGTCCATATTTTATCTATCATTTCATCCGGTCATTTGGGGTTAATTTTGTTTGCTCTTAAATATGAATCAGGTCATGACTTGTAGACCCCGCTCGGATCTTTATGTCAATCTGCCAGCACTACGTAAATTAGATAACATGCTTCTTGTAAGTTTTTGCAGCTTCAGTGCATATTAATTCTATTTCCAAAAGGTAGCCATTGAGTGTCTTTCTAAACTGAGGTCTTTTCTGCAGGAAATATTAGATAGTTTTGTCAAGACAGAATTTTGGTATGTTGACCAGGGGGTTCTAGCCTCAGATGCAGATGATGGTTCTTCCTCTTTTCGGAGGGCTGTTCAGCGCCAAGAGGAAAAATGGTGGCTCCCAGTACCCCGAGTTCCTCCATGTGGCCTCCATGAAAATTCAAGAAAGCAGTTGCAGCACAAGCGTGATTGTACCAACCAAATATTAAAAGCTGCAATGGCCATCAACAGTATCACTTTGGCTGAAATGGAAATTCCAGAGGCATATTTGGAATCCCTTCCTAAGGTATAAATGAGCCATATTCTTTCCTTATAAGCTGATTAAATTACATAATTTGCTAAAACAACTGATACGGCCTTCTTTCAGAATGCAAGAGCCAGCCTGGGGGATCTTATTCATCGGTATATTTCATCAGAGCAATTCTCTCCAGATTGCCTGCTTGCCTGCCTGGATTTATCCTCCGAACATCAAGCTATAGAGATCACCAACCGAGTGGAGGCTTCTATCTACATATGGCGTAAAAAGACCAATTCCAAACCTGCTTCCAGATCCAGTTCTAGATCATCTTGGGGCATGGTCAAAGATCTGGTCGGTGATGCTGAAAAAAGGGAACTGCTTGCTGATAGAGCAGAAAGCCTTCTGCTATCTTTGAAGCAACGCTTCCCTGGCCTTCCTCAAACAACCTTAGACATGAGCAAAATCCAATACAACAAGGTTGGTATTCATTGTGTTCCAGGTTGAACTCCATTTCCTTGATGACAAAACTGAAGTGCAGTATTTCCACTTTTGTTATGAATTATTTTTAATAAAAATATGGCAAGTACATATCGTCTACAGTTTAAGACCACATAATTAGATCTTTCTTTCAACAAAAGAACTTTTCCACATTTAATGTTTAGATTGGAAATCTAATAGTAAACAGCCAAGTAACCTCACTTATGGTTGCCTGTTCCTTAGTAACAAATTTCTTCATTTACTTAAGTTCCTTCAAATTATTTTGTCTAGGATGTTGGGAAATCAATTCTGGAGAGCTACTCTCGGGTACTAGAAAGTTTGGCTTTTAACATCATAGCACGGATCGATGATGTGTTTTATGTGGATGAGCTGACCAAACATTCTGATCACTTCTCATCATTATCAAAAGTTGGAGTAGTTGCTCACAAGAGTATTACAGTGCCATTCACTGTTCCTGTCCCAAGCAGTCCATATAAAACAGCTTTTGCCACGCCGAGCTTTTCACCAGCACAAGGCATCAGCCCAGTGAAGGGAGAAAAATCCCAATTTATGAATGGCAGCAGAAACCTTCCCCATCATGGCGGGGTAGGTGTGAAGAAAGTTTTGACAGATTTTCTTAGCATTGATATGAAAGGGAAGGGCTATAGCAGCAGGAACCCAATTGAGAAACTAGTGCAAACACCAGAGAGGTCTGAAGAAAAGGCAGCATATGAAACAGACTTGGATTCTAGTGAGTGCACAGAAGAAGCTACTAGCCCCGAGAAGATAAAGGACCAAGCATGGGAAGAGTAGGAGAGGTCCTTCGACCTCATTTCCAAGACCCGTCGTACTGGGCCTTCTGTTTCTTTTTTAGATGTATATGTAATGCATAGATGGATTCCCATTTCGAGTGGATAAGAGCATCTTCCGTTGTTGTTTATATATTATCTACATGTGGTTATTATATTGTCTATATATTACGTGACGTCGCGGTGGAAGTTGATGTTTCGATGGCATTTTGCAAAAATATTTGGATTGGTGGAAAAAATTAGCATTATTATCAAAGGGGCATTCCGAGAATTGAACTCGGGACCTCTCGCACCCTAAGCGAGAATCATACCACTAGACCAAATGCCCGAAGTTGAGAGGAGCGTCTGGGAGAAAATATCTAGATCCAACACATAAATCACACGGCGTGAAGGCTGTAAACGCGCCCAAACGACGAAGACTCGTGGATCTCTTTCCTGCCTGTTAACTAACTGGCTGTTTTCCAGTTTTCTTTCTTTTAATTCCTTGATGTCATTAGTATCATTGCCATTCTCCTGATGTGATTTTAAAGTTCTTAAAAAAAAAAAAAAGTGCGCAAAGGATCAACAGTTTTCAACACTATTTCTTCCGTGATCTGCTGCTCTCTGTTCATGCATCAAAATGACTCGATATTAGACGCCACAACAGTTGTAAGTTAAAAATAATAATGCAAAATACCTCCCCTACCCCCTTGGCGGGTTCGGTTTCTGTATGCGTAATATAAATGCAACTGACGAACTTATAATACTACTACAAATAACTAATACATACTCTGTCATCGTAGTCGTTGTAGTATAGTGGTAAGTATTTCCGCCTGTCACGCGGACGACCCGGGTTCGATCCCCGGCAACGGCGATATTTTTTTCTCCCCCCGCCCCTTTCTTGAAGTGCCAGTTAGGAGAAGCGAAGTTTCGTGCAGAAAGGACCAGCCACATATCGCCAACACTCGGATTCAATAATTTTGCCACGAAACCAGAGAATGTGATATTTTAGTGGTTTTATAATTCCGGGGCGAAGAGTTCGCTCAGCCTTTTGGTGGTAATCGACGCTGCAACGTGACAGTACATATGTGAACACTGAACTTGGTGGATACAAACCCAACCAGAGGCCTGCCCAGTGCGAAAGTTGTACTATGAATGACGCTGAAACAGACGAAAATTTAGAAACGGAGGGTCCGATGAACTTGCTGGAACTGAAGGGTTTGATTCAGCGGTTGAAGGTGCAGCAGGAAGTGCACGTTCTGCACCTGGAATCTCAGCTCTTCAGCTCTCCCGCTGCTCACACTAATTTTTCAAACCTAGGGAATGATCGTTTATTGTTTGAAATTTTAAAAAGTTACTCCAACAAACGAGAAAAAAAATGTCTTGAAATCCAGTATTATACAAAAGACCTTCTTCTTCTTCTTCTTTTTTTGGGGAAAAGATAATGTTATTTTCTTATATACGGGAATAAAATTATGATATTCTCCCAGCAGCCTTTCCAGAAAGTGATGAATGAATTCCCATACATTGTAACTATACGTTAACATGGTAAAGACAACCTTGGGAAGAACAGTTTCTTTTTGACATTGAACTCCAAACCACGTTTGGAGACAAGGAGAGGTAAATTGGTGTTGTCCCTCTCCCACCATTGATGGACATGGGCAAAGGTTGGAGATGTGGATGAGAAGTAATATAACACCATAGATTTATCATTTTCGTCACAAGGGGTATTGCAACAATTTGAATGGACTCATCGGTTCGTTACCACACTTTCGGACATATTTTCTAAACGTATATGCTTGTTGGGCAACAATACCAACCCACGCGTGTCAATTATTCAAATATAATATGAATGATTTCATTGATTTGCGTCTTATTGTTTCTTGTTCTTGTGCTGTTTATTTTCCAATCTCAAGGGAAATATAAGCATCATGCACAGCTGCACAAGATTCAAATTATCACAATACCCCTTTGGAGGGTTTTCTTACTTTTAGCTGTGCAAGGCAATTCTTCGACTTCATTCTTCTGTTCAAACATGGTTCATGGACCCTCTAGCCTATATATTGCTTTCGATTCATTTTCTTGGAGAAAAAGATACTTGGCACTCTAAAATTATTAGATAAATTTCAGTTTGCGAGTCTACGGTCAATTATAATCAAATTTTATCTCTTGCGTGTGTGAGAAAAGAATTAACATCTTAGGTCGTCAAGTTCAATTCCGCAACTCCCCCCCCCCCCCATCAACGTCTGCAATAATGGCGAAGGAATCTAGAGGGACAAGGGTATCAGTTTCTCTGAAAAAGATATATGCATGTACATCAGTATATCAGTGAGAAATTGGATTAGGGCATCCACTTTTCAAGACCAAGTTCGTCACGATGTTCCAATCACGCATAAACATTCTTGCATGAATCCCTCTACTTGTCACGTACCGATTCAGTAAACTTGTTACAATTGTCAAAAATAACTTGATCCTGTCAAATTAAGGCGTTCAGTTATTCTCTATCATTCTCCTGATCTTATTAAAAGTACTAATACCCTGTGTAGAATGCGATGCACAAGAATCTTCTTGGGTCTCATAACCTACACAAATTATCCCTTAACTCTCAAATCACTAATCTTGTGTCTCATAACGTACACAGAATCAGTAGCTTGCAGCTATCAAGAGGGAACTGGACACATAGATCTGGAGAGAAGCTGAACTTTCAGATTACTCTGCTCCCTCAGACTTCATCATACTAAAGCTGCTTGCTTTTAGTCGTTTACTTAGTCTGAGAATCAATCAGTCAACTCCATACATTGCGTGGTCCAGACCAAACCTACAAAAAAAAATCCCCACTTACTAGCTTTATGGGTCAGAGCAAGAAGACAATTACGCAGGGAATATGTTTACGTGGTTAGGGATAGCATCAAATGCTCCCATTTTCTCGCTCAAAAGCCATGTGATTTTCTCATTTTCATCCCCACACAACGTAAAAGGCGACAAATTCACCAGCACAGAGGGTTTCTCACAATCTATTAGCTTCAGGCACAGTTTCAGCCACAATATGAGTTGCTAATAAAAGATGCATATTCTTCATTCTAAAATACATAGAGAACACCATTAAGAGTTTTTTTTTCCACACTATAATTCTGAAGTTTCAGCTGCATCAAGTGTAGTTTGACAATCAATCGGGTTTCGCAGGCAATACAACCTTTACATTCTACAATACAAAGAGCAAGGAAAACATTCTTTACAGTAAAGCAGAAGGAATTACACAATTAGAGGTTCATGTTATGGTTCTGCTGTTTGGACAGAGAAATGAACTAGCTCGCCCACAACTATCTCGCTACCGTATAACTCTCCCATATAATACAAGGAAGAATTATCCTGCACTAAGACTTCCTATTTACCTGAAAGGCAAGCAATTGACAAACAAATTGATACAGCAACAACAAATTAGTACAACTTCTGCCTCGGTTTACTGAATTTCTTTTTCTTCTAAAATGAAATAAATAAAGGAATTTGAAGAAGTAAAAACAATGATTCCTCAAATCCAAAGCTAATTAAATATTATAGAATCTGGAGTTACCTTGATGAGCTTATTCGATGGAAAGTATGCTATTAATAATAAAGAGACCCTGCATGAAGTAAGCGACAAGAGAGAAACTGAATGAGAAAACAACGAAAATGATACTACAAACCATACTCAAAATGTTATGCCCCAACGAAGTAACATACCTTGCCACCAGTTTCCTCTAGGGGCACTTCCTGAATCATCTTCTCCCCCATCTTTCTTGTACTGATAAATTAGAAGTCATGTCAGGGATTCCAAATACCAGAAAAATATCAACTGAGTTTGTGTGCGTGTGTGTGTAAACCCTGCTTGTGTTAAACTCTATTCAGGGCTCAACAAAGTGACTTTATCAAGCTTTAAGCTTTTGATTTGATCTCTCTTGATTTCTATCTAGTATTTTATGATTTATTATCTTCATTCACAAGTTCTTTATTTCGCAGTAGTTGGCATGCCTTAATATTATTTTCAGCTCATGTATTGGACTTCTACTAATACAGTGCATTTTCTCAGAGCAGTGCATTTAAGATGTTACTCCAGAAGAAATGAGCTTTGTTTATAAGGGATACAATACACCCTTGAATTAATATCTTAGGATGTGCTTATAACTGACTAGCATTAAACAAATGGGCTCACCAAAGGGTTTAGTCCAGCATTCTCTGTCTTCTGAGGATGAGAATATATGTCCTGTCCACCGTAATAGATTGATGAACTAAGGTGGCAAGGTTGAACTCTTTGTTCCTGATAAATGGAACTCATATCCTTATATGAAGTACTCTGACTTTCATTCTCATTTCCCTTGATGTTTCTATCTGTACGGTCATCAGGTATAAGGCAAAGATGTTAAAAATAAAAAATAAAAAATTACAGACTGATCCATGGCCAATAAAAGGTTAGATGCTATAGATTATGATACTTCAGAAAACACAAGAAATTAGAGTATAAGTCAAACCAAATCGTGTTTCACCAAATATGACCACAACACTAATTGGCTCCCATAGAGATTATCTGTATCGCTTTTTTTTTGGGGGGGGGGTGTTCCGTTCGACAATTAACTCATTTCTCTTCTTGATACCTTGATATTATTTTATTACTAGGGGAAATGAAATTGATCCGACACCAAATTTTCAAGTAATAAAATGGCACATAAATCTTCAATCAAGCTAGCCGATATAGGGATCTTTCTTTGGCTAATCAAAACTCTCAATTATTGATATGACTTTCAAACATAATCAGCAGCCGCCAGGGTAATATAGATGAGATAATTAAATGAAGAACGTAGAAAGAATACAGATAATAACTAGGACACCAAGCCAGATGCCAGAATTTCAGAGATCAAAGAAGCAGAAGCATATAGGAGTGATCTATAGTACAACTTTAAACATTATCAGAAATGATAGAAGTAAATCAAATACTGTCTCCAAAAAGTATTTATAAGAAACACATGTAAATAGGCCCGGAGGTAGTATGTAAGAAGAGGCTAAAATTGAGTGTGCCTACCAGCAGTCCCACTCTTGGGGCTCCATGTCTCACTGGCAGTTTTTACACCCTCTCTAGGAGGCAGGTAACCAGTCCCTAACACCTGAATCAAAAAGTCCAAGAAAAGTCTCAGCCATTTTTTATCTGAATATAGATATGAGTGCACCCAACTTCAAGATTCAAAGCAAAACTTCCATAACCAGATGAATCTAATTTTCAGCTCTCTGTTAATTCCATAGGTGTGAGTACTCATTTTCTATATTTTCTTTTGGTTCTTTTGGCCAAGCTGAGATTGGACTACAATGGTGAAGGGAAATTGATGGGGAAAAATGCGGAGATTGAACTGAAACCTCCAGAATCAAACTAAGAATGATGCATGAAAAATTAAACAGAGAAGAAGCTCTGAAAACGAAAACGTCACCTTAGATGATGGAGAAAATATAGACCCTAAAATCCCAGAAGACGAAGATGGGGATTGATCCTTAGAACCAAAGAGCTCAGAAGTGAAGGAAGAAGACGAGCCAACTTGATTCTTTCCTTCCATTATCGTCCCTACCTTCAAATCTCACGCAAATAATATATCAGGCACGGTCCAATAGAATCTTTAATGAGAAAAACCAACAAGTTATTTATGTTTCCTTGGGGAACAGAGTGAAGGAAGGAAGAAAAGAAAATGAAATAGATGAAAACTTGAGAAGACACGTGAAAGTTTCGCTCTGGATGGAGAGGGAGAGACTGATTCAAATGAAACCGTCGTTCACGACCCCATTTATAAGGCAGGAAAGACGGCCTCCAAGGGAAAAAGTCTAAATCTTTTTTTGCATCACCCCTTTTTTTCTCTCGTTATTATTCTTCGGAAACATAAACAGCAACACAAAAGAAAAGCAGAGCCTCCCTCCCTTTCTCGGCCTCCCCTGCTCCTTTTTGTTTCCACTCTCCTTTCTCGTCGGCCTTCAGACTGCCATGAGGTTCTTAGATTGGTGCCACGTGGATTTTCGACCCCCAGCGGTGGGTTCCACAAGCAAATCCCCAACCATTTACTGCCACGAGTACCAAATGGATAATAACAATTCTGCCCTTGTGGCCCCATGCTTCTCGAAAGGGCAGCTTGGACTTTGGCAATGATCCTAGGTAATTAATTATGCTTTGTTTATCAAGACCTGATTTAATCTGAAAATAATGTATCAAACAGGTAAGGATAGACAGTACCGGAAAAAGAAACCAAACGTGAGAGTAACCAATTTATTAACAAATATTTTTTGTAGGCCAAAAAAAAAAAATACATACAAGTCTCATAGAAAAAAATTAATTCTAAAAAGTCCCTCAAAATCCCCAAATGCTTCCTAAGTCCCCAGAGACTTCAAAGCAAAAAATTAAATTTGTAAAATTAACTACTTGCTCTCACTGATGGAAAAGGTTGTGACTGGCTGCTGTGTAAGTTGTGACTGTATGCTGTACATGTTGTCATTCGGTTGAGTATGGGTTGTGATTGGCTTCTATGTATATTGTGAATGGCTCAAAATCTCAAATATAGGTTGTGATTGATTGCTGTGTAGGTTGCGACTGTAGCTATGCATGTTGTCATTCAGTGAGGGCAAATAGGTAATTTCACAATTTTAATTTTTTGTTTTGAGGTTCATGAGGACTTAGAAAGCATTTGGGGATTTTTAGAGACTTTTTTAAAATTAATTATCTTCTATGGGACTTACGTGTAATTTTTTCAAAAAAAAAACAAATGTTTTCGATCAAAATAATTCGATAAATAATTTATTAATAAATTTTATTCATCATATTGTTGTGGGAATGAATCACTCATAATGAAGCGATCATCGGTTATAATGGCAACACTCATGCTGTGAACGATTAAATGCACTGGTGCACTAATTATGAACAATAAATCAAATTTATTGGATTAAAGTTGAGTTAATTAGGACAATCAAGAAACTCGAAAGACTTGGATTCAGATTTTTAAAAAAAATTAAAATTAATACGCAAGGGAAATATTTCTGCTTTATTCTAGTCGTTTTGTTGGGCAAGGTTTCTCAACCATGCCAACAATACACACACTATCTTCAATTCTAAATATAAGATTTAATTGAAAATTTAATTTAATCTTATATATAATATCTCAATTCACTTTATCTCCTATATTTGTTTATTTTTTTTAGATTAGTCCTCATGTTGATTACGCATATTAGAGAGTTTTCATTTTAATGCATATGACTAATAAGGATATTTTAAAAAAGACAACATATATTTATTACAAATTACGAATTTAACTAATTTTTCTTAATATTTAGGGAGAATTCCCAAAAAAAAAAAGAATTCCAAAATCTAAATCAGTCCTGCTTACTGTACTTTAATAACAATTGATAATATTTGAAAAACAAATGATAACAAATTTTTATACGCATTCCTAATTTGATATTTTGAAATTTTATAAGTATTTTTTTAGGAATTCTCCCTAATATTTATAAATTAGTCACCTAATTTTTATATTAAAAACTCAAGGCAGTATGTATGTATTTTCTTACACTTCAAGGATATATATATATATATATATATTTATATTTGTTTTAGCCTCGAGTTAAGGGCATACAAATGTTGAATTTATTAGAAGATTATTCCACAAACATAAAAAGTAAATAATTTTACTCGCTCATAACTACTGTTAAACTAGTTTTTTTAATACAAACATTGTACATTTGGGGATGTGAAAAGTAAAGCATAGGTCAATTCTTGCACATGAATTGAACTATATATTTATATAGAGGAACATAACAAATTTAATAATGAACTTCAATACATGAATGGATTGAAATGAGTTGAAATAAAGATAAGATAAATATAAATATATGAGAGAGGTTAAAAGAGGAGAGAGGGGACGGGCCATAATAAGGATCTTAGGTGGATATGTTGTCGGGCAAAGGGACGTGAGAGATGGATTTAGGGTTGAAATATAAATAAGGGGTTAGATTTGGATGCATTGAATCATGTACAAGAAAAAAAAAAAAAAGGGGAGAGGAATGGCATTAAATTGTCATATTGAGAGAAATATTAATTAGTATGGGTTTTGGTATGGCCAATCAATCACTCACTTAATTTATGAATATTGAAAATCAAGTCTCCATTCAGTGGCTGAGGTTGATATTTATGTCCCATTTGTACCCTTCCTTCTCATGAATAAATGTCAAAATTCAAAGAGGTTGATATTTACATAAATTTTATGGTTTATAAGTTATGACTAATGTAGTAATTCCTAGTTTTCTTTTTTCTTTTTTAAATTTTTGTAACCACTCTCCAAAAATTTTTGTGTTGCTCCTGATGATTCCTTTGATGTTCTTCACGTATCTCAAATAGAGTTTGAAGTTGTACAAAATATGAAGGTAAAAAAATGTAAAAAAAAAAAAAAAGATATTGTACCTAAAAAGTTCTTCAAAAGTACCTAATTGAGTTCTTTTAAAAAGAAAATAACATGCCCTGAATTTATTTTATCTACTGTCTCCATTATCTTTCTTACTATATAAGCAAAGTCAGAGTTAACATAAATAACTATGAGAATTAATATTATCCAAGATTTTCAAAATGGCTTATTGTTTGGTAAATGCAAACCTTGCCAAGAAGCTCTCGGTTTTACTCTTGTAAGGGGAACATAAATTCAAATTTTAAAAATTTTATTTGTTATAAGAATTTTAATCTTAATGCTCACAATTCAGCAAGGATTAGGCATAAGTTCAAAATAGTTTGGCCAGAAAAAAAAATCTTATTAGAAAGAGTAAAAAAAAGAAAATATAAGTAAATATTTAATTATACTAAAACCAACTTGAAGGGAATTTTAAATTGGAAATGCAACTGGGATCAGATCAGACACTGGTCTCAAATCAAAATGATTAGGGATGGGCTCAAATAATGTCATCATCAACCTGAACCAGACCAACTGAATTATCTGATTTTTTTTTTCACCCTCATTAAAATCTCCGTTAATTGTTTTACCATGTTCTAGGTAATTAAGAAGCAACACTTGTAGTTTAAAGGCAGGATGAAAGATAAGATGGGAGGAAAACAAGTAACAGATGTCAAATAATGAGTGGCAATATGGGTTGTGGATAAGATTAAGAGGTTAGAATCATGAGATTACCCGAAGGGATAAGGTTAAAAATCGAACAAAATGGATATTAATGTGATTAGGATAAGCTGGTGATGTAATTCATCAGATAATCAAAAAAAAAAAAAAAAACGGTGGCAGACACATAAGAAACTTAGATAAGTACAAGAAATAAACGACATATAGATGATAATAAATTAACAATATTCAAACGGATAATAAGCAGATTAGAGATATATGCAGAAAGAGTGAGGGGTTGGCTAATAAGTTGGGTTTTTTTCCCCTAATAACTCATACATACATTATATTTTTTATTAAAAGTTTGAACTGGCAATTGTATGCTTAAGCAAGTTTTAAAAAAACATGTCTGAGTTAATTGAACCACAATCCTAAACGATAAGTTAGGTCATTGAACTTAAGTTTGCTTATAAGTTGGGAATCAGGTTTTCAATTATTTCCTTAAAATTGTACTCTTTCGGTCCTAAATATAAGACTCTTATACTAAAACCGGAGGAGTATCAACTTAAACATTGGTATAAAAATTGTATTCATATTATGCAACTTTTGTAAATGGTTTATAGGTCCTGTTTCTTAAATATCATTCATTATTAGTTTATGAAAAAAGTCTCTAGTTATTTGACAAATTTAAGTTGTTTAATATTGTAAAAGTTATTTAAATAATCTACCAGTCGTACAATTTAAAATTTTTATTGTAATAATTTTTACCATGTAAAATATTTAATGCATTATAAAAATAATCCTCAATAAGCTGCCTTTGCAATAAAAACTAAAACATTTCTTACATTTTATTTTAAAAAATATAACACGTAAATACAATATTATACCAATTTTTTTAAAAAAAAATCAACCAAAATTTTTGAAATTAAACATGAAAGATACTACATATCTTCTGCCTTGAGAGTCGCCGCGCGTGTTTACTTCCAACTTCCATCCACAAAAAAGTGTCGCCACTTTTCGTTGGCCTCAAAAGTCCACTCTCAGTTTGGTCACCTCAAATAATTGTTCCAATAAAAAAAATCATTTTAGAATTATTGTTTAGCTCTTAGTACAAAAAAAAGCTCTCAAATAATTTTAATTTAATAATTTTAGGAAAAACATATTTTCATTCGATTTCCAAATTGAATGAATATTGTGAAAATAATAAAATTTAAAGCGTGGATCTGCATTTAAAAATAAATTTAAGAAGTAAAAATAAAAAATTTCAAAAATAATATATTACAGAGTCCATAAGAAGTTGCATTATTTATAGGTCTTAAATAAATAATATGACGAAATTAAGATACTTTTATTTCTACATAAATAAAACTAAAATTCACATAGTTGTTATACTTTTTGTTTTTTTTCAATTAAGTTATAGCATGTGTATTTATTTACCAATTATAAATGCCATGTAACTGATCACGTTATTATTACTTTTAATTGATATTTGAATTTCAGATGCAGTTATTTTGACTTGCTTGAAGATAAGGATAACATATATACAAGTTTAGGTACATAACTATTCTCCTATTTAAAATACACAAAAAAGTATTTGATTTAGATAATTGAATTGAG